CAGACAGTATACAAGTAGTATTTATCAAATTTCTGAGTACGGGATGGGTTTCGTTCACAATGTTGTTCGTTTTACCTTGTCGTTTTTGCCCATCATAATTCATACGGTATTGTACAATTTTTATTGTTTCAAGTCAGCCACTACCTAATAACAATGTAGAAAGGTACTCAACCAAGAAAATTTATAAAAAAAGACGAATATAACACCTTTGAACTTATTTTAAATTTGGTCATGACATTAGTTAATTTAAATACAATACACAATGACTCGTGTAATTTATCGGATGAAATTAAACATAAGTTCGATCTTAAACAGATTTTGCTTTGTTGTGGAATGTTTAAGTTATTGGCCAGGAATTGTTTAAGGTTAATTTATAAAACCAGTAGTTTAATCATTCGCAAACGAGTTTCAAACTAGTGTGTTAGTATTACACAGTTCATCGTGTCGTCTACAAGTTGTCGTTCAATATAACTCACTCGCTTAACTGAATCCAGAACAACAATAATAATAGATGGTAAATTTATCATTTATTTTTATTTCGTCTTGAAGCAAAGCTCTGTCTAATAGGCTCGCATCCCAGGGCAAATCAATTCCGGTTTTTTATGATAGACAGACAAGCATGAGAATTACTTGATAGAAGGTGAAACCCCACCCATATGACATACTAGGTGTGTCAGCGACTTCGTCCGCGTAGAATAGCTATTTTGGGCATTGTAATTTTTTTTTTTTTTGCAAACCTCCACATCTTCGCGTCGCGTCGCCCGCGACCTGTTGTTCGGGTCCCGTCGTTCTTGCAAGTTAATTTTAAAATATGGATATATCGCAGACATTTTTTATATCATTTAAAGAGGAATTATTTCATACATATTTTTGGGTATCTTGAACCGTTAACGCAGCGTACGCATCTGAAACCCACAGAGATGAAAATTTTTCCCCGTTTCGTTCACATTTTCCGCTGTATCTTCGTTTCTATCAGTCACAGAGCGATGTTTTCATCTGTTGACTTCTTCATCTGTGGACGGTGGTTCGTGACCTGGGAGAAATTTCTATATTCCTATCACCCATTTCATATCCAGATTTTCATACGAAGACCAATATTTTATTACAACTTTACAACAATTATAAATTAGTTAATTAGAAACGTGCTGGACACAGTGGGGATCGAATCCACGACTCTTTATCAGCCATGCATTGGTACAATTAGATCAACGAAGTCAAATTCCATTTCTAATAGTTTACGCAACTTTTGCAAAATCTGGATATTATTGTGCCAATATTCAAGCCAAGCCGAGCCGAGATACCACTTTCGGTCTGTTCTTTGAAGAGGAAATTCACGTTTGACTTCAGCCTGTCAATTTGCGAATCTCCAACGCAACAATGGGTTGACTTGACAGCAAATCTTTTTACCTTCCCTCAAGTGAGCAGATAAACATGATCGGTATACTTTAGTAAAAAAAAGGGACTGATATTCTTGAAATAATATGTATACTTTAAACTATGTCAGGATTTAGTTAGGGCTAAGGATAATTTTATTTCTCTCAGATAATGTTACACCATGAAGTGCAGAACAAAACGCCAATTAATAATAATTAATTACATTATTTTACCAGAATATCGACGTGAAATTGCTGATATTAGTGTATTTATTTAGTAGCTAATTTAATTTTGTCATAGTGTGTGTGTAGTTCGACTCATCAATATTAATTACTTATATATTTTGATTGCGCGACAAACAAAATCGGTGTCCTTGAAAGAAATAGTATAGTATTGTGTACTCGCGTGGTACCACACATTACTTATTCAAATGTTTGTCGAATGGTAGTCACCGGTCCCCAATTCCTCAATATTATTTTTATGTATTACTTAATTCATTTTAAAGTTGTCAACTGAGCCATTATTTTATTAAGATTAGCAATAACTAAACCAGTACACATATCATGTGAATAAGGACTTTGACGCTATCGTTGGTCTGTCGGTAGCAATGTATGGATAACAAGCTAAGGGTCGCGAGTTCAATCTCGACCGGATTCGCCTAGTTTCTGATCCATTCATAAGTTTTCTTAAAAGTGGGACTTTGGAATATCGAGATATTGTCCTTGCACTACCGTAAAGTCGTTGAAAAAGTCGTAAAGTTAAATCGGGTTTCGATTTTAGTCTGTGGATTTGAGTATTTAAAGCCAAAATACAATCTTGACAATCTTTATCTTCTACCTGTCCTGTGATTTAGAAGTTCAATAACGATTGTGGATTCGATTCCGCAAGCATGTTTGTTTTTTTTTCTTTTTTTTTCTAAATCCAACAAACCCCTGTTTGTCTTTCTATCATGAAAATTCATCATGAAGACGAAATACAACCTAAGTATAAAAACATCAATTTATTTGTAACCCCAGTCTCGCACTTGGATTACATCACATCAATCCAATTGACAATTACAAGAGAAGTATTTAGAAAATCTTGTAGCTACATAAATTTTAACAACGAACTTTAAACGAAATAATGATAACAAATACAATATATAAATGAGATATGTGCAAATATAACAATTTTTGTGACCTTTTGACTTTTGATATTAATAGACCTTGGGATATGCAGGCTTTATAACCACGTCGAGGCAGTCAAAATACAAGTTTATATAAATACAGTTATCACAAATTCCGAGGTGAACTTATCACTTACATTACTAGAATATAATTTTCACATTGGCCTTTTGCAAGATTTAACAGAAAGACAGTTCACTACCCATAAAACCGTGTTGCTAGGATACAATCAGACAAGTTTATCCTAATCATGACAATTTCACGTTGCTCGTGACAATAAAGATGTGACCAAAGGCTATGAATATAAATGTTATCGGTCGTGATACATGATAACAAGTTCGTAATTGTTCGATGCAACCCAAAAGCAATGTTTTGCGACGATTTACATTAAATAACAAATATGTATTCGCTTGATCTTTGTCATGAGAGGCGCCCATCATTTTTCCGTGAGCACGACGGCTGGAAAGCTTTCGAAACGTCGGGTCGTAGTTAAAAAATAATAGCCAATATTCAAGCATTTATAAAATTACCTCCTTTGAAAAATCCTTGGATTTTCTAACTTAAGGAACACGCATTTTCAAATATTTTTACATTTTAAATAAACTAGAGGAAAAATAGCCGTAGTCAATTTATCTGCTTTTATGAATAGCTTTTTAAACTTTATAAATAAAAAAAAATGTTTTTTTATATTGTTAATTTAAAATTAAAGTTAAAATATACTTGTAATCTATTATATTCCAAAGGAATGAAATCAGTATCCGTGTATACTTGGATAAAAAATACTGTTTTCTGAAGAAAATGTCCAGTGCAGATAAAAGATAATTCTGAAAAAAAGAAATTTACCCATTTAAATAAAACACTTTAACGGTTTAAAACGCGATATATTAGTTAAACTTATTTGAAAATGATTTTTAACTTCGGCCCGACGTTTCGGATGCTTTGCAGCAGCCGTGGTCACGGGGAGACGCCGGGCCGAAGTTAAAAATCATTTTCAAATAAGTTTAACTAATATATCGCGTTGTAAACCGTTAAAGTGTTTTATTTAAATGTGTACTACTCGCGTAAACTATAGACTAGAAAATAAGGATGTGAATGTCGGTTCAAATCATCCTCGTGTCGTAATTTTATGTCAATCTTAAATCGGTTAATAATAGATATACTGCCATCGTGTGCAACAACATGTGAAAAATATTAAAGTTTTGTTTTAATAATATAATATTGTAACAATGTAAGAGGTCAGAATAAATTCTTGAAAGACTTTCGTTTCCTAAATATGATAATTTAGGAAGCGTAGCGAAATCTCATAGTTAACAGTAAAAACAGACTAGTGAAAATAATTATTCAGACAACGAACAGGGCGAAACTGAATAAATTAGTATAATGACTATAAAAAATAGAGACTGATAAATAAAGGGTTATTTGTATTTCTATAGCCACAATTTCAAAAAAGGCAAATATAAAAATCATTCAAGTAATTATGGATGGACAACCCTTGTCACTTTGAGGTATTGAAAATAGATAAGACCTGATTCACAGCTTCTAAATAAGAATATCAAATTTAATGATACTAAGCCGTTTTCGCAAGATTATGACAACATTACAACAAGCGTGTTTTGTATAATATTCAGTATTAAGTTATAGAAGAAATAAAAGTATAAAGGGATAAATACCCTGCAAATACCTCTTATATTCTAATGTAATTTTTAAAGCGAAGAAAACCAATTCCCTTAACACTATCTCATACATTTTTATCGCTATTAAGGCTAGTTCATTACAATAAGAGAACAACCGCTATAATATTATTACACTCAGAACTGTTTATCTTCTTGTTTACTATGAATGTGACACAATAGCATCTCGGGACACCAGTCTTGTAATATATTTGATAGAAGTGATAGAAGATTGAACTATAAGTTTATAAGGACTTTGTCGGTTTAAAGCCAAATATATTTTTTTATAATAGAGGATGGGTTAGAAAATAAAAAAGAATAAAAAAAAGATAAAGAAAAGACAAGCACGTGGTTCATACCCCAGTCATATAACATCTAAACAAGACGCGCTGTCGCCGAAACCGATACGCGATTAAACCTCACTGATTTTTTATCTGTGGACCGTGGTTCGTAGCCCGGACGGAATTTCGATATACCTACTACCAATATCGGACCCGGTGTTTATAAGCTATACATTGCTACCATTACACCAACCAGCCCGTCAAAAAATGTATATGCTCAAGTCTACTTTATATTTTATTATAAATTCTTGATTCGCTATTAGAAATTTTAATAAGACTAAGAAATAAAGCTGCTCTAAGGCAATTAAAAAGATTTATTTCTTTGTTTCATTTGCTTTACATTCTATTGTATTGTAGGTCAATAAAAAATCTTGTTTCAGATCGCTCTTCAACTTGATATAATGAAACTTAACAAGATTAAAGCATCAAACGTTATATTGAAATAAAGTAAAATGAGTTATGAAAAAAATGGAACGAACGCTACAATCAACGAATCCTTATCTGTGGACCCGACACTCATTTTTGGACCTCAACGTGATTCTATGTACATCGTTGTGCCCATAACTATAATATACTCGCTTATCTTTATAACGGGGTTGTTTGGCAACATATTCACATGTATAGTGATCATGAGAAACAAAAACATGCATACAGCTACAAATTATTACTTATTCAGTTTAGCTATATCCGATCTCCTTTTACTGGTAAGCGGGATGCCGCAAGAAATGTACTCGATTTGGTACAAATGGCCGTACGTTTTTGGCCAGTCCTTCTGCGTTATACGGGGCCTAGCGGCAGAGACATCGACGAACGCGAGTATCTTGACGATAACTCTATTCACCATAGAAAGGTATTTGGCAATTTGTCACCCATTTGTTTCCCACAAGATGTCGAAATTGTCGAGAGCGATAAAGCACGTTATTTTATTGTGGATTATATCGTTCGGACTAGCGCTACCACAGGCTCTACAGTTTGGAATAAGAGTCCACAAAGGTGTCACTATGTGTCTCCAAACGAGAGTTATAATTGAGCACTCATTTGAGTTGTCCACTATATTCCTATTTTTTGCGCCAATGCTTGTCATCACTGTTCTTTACTCCCTAATTGGCCTACGACTGAATAAATCGAACGTGTCCAAGGGTCTGAAAGACAAAGGCCCGCCACAAAATAAAAAAGTAATACACAAAATCCAGAGGAAAAACAGTACACAGTCGACTAAACGTGTCGTTAAAATGTTAGGTAAGGTTATAAAACATTTATAAAAAGAAATAAGAACTTTTTAATCATTTAACTTTGTCGTCAAACGAAAGTTAACGAAAGTAATTATGATACGTAATTGAAGAAATAAAGATTTATTTGACATTCAAAATAGGAAATAAATTATTTGTATATTGGTTTTATTTATATTATCGATGCATACTTTTACAAATTAAGTTGATTATATTTTCATATGTTTCGTATTAATAAATTCTCGACATTATGAATTGTGGTTAAAGAGCAGTAAAGCTATAATCCCATTTATATTAGGCCTTTAATTTTAACCACAGTTTAAATTTTCTTACAGTCGCTGTGGTCGTTGGATTTTTTATCTGTTGGGCCCCGTTTCACGCCCAAAGGCTGGTCGCTATATATGGGACAGCCGAAAATCACCTGGCAAAGTCTTCATTACTACTCTCCGCTTACTATTACCTAACTTACACCTCTGGTGTTTTTTACTACGTGTCGACGTGTATTAATCCTATATTTTATCATATAATGAGTAATAAATTTAGAGAAGCATTTAAGGTTAGTATTTATGTAATTATAAGTCGATTTAGAAAGCGCAAGAGTTAAATTTTTATGAGAAAGAATTATTTTTTCCCATCTTTCTAAAAATCCATTTTGTATCATCTAGATATATTTAGGTACCTAAACGCACAATCATTTAATTGTAGCTTTTAGATAAACCGAATAGCCTTATTTATCAATTTAAAATCCGTTGTTGTTTGTTTATCTAGTTATACGTCTGGATTGATTTAGCTGAATTTGTTATGATTGTCGTTGTACAGGGAAGGTTAAAAGGTGTCTAATATAGCGAGGATATTGAACTATAAGTACATATTCGCTTTTTTTCTCTTAAGAGATAATTTTTATGTCGTTAGGATAGATGATATTAAGTAGAGGTCACTTACCACCGACCTAACAATTTATACACAGGTTTAGGTATACGCAAAATCTGAACCGATGATATAGTTCCTTCTGTATTTATTTTAGGCTACAATAAGCCAATGCTGTTGTCGTCACGCAGACAGGCCTGTGACAAAGCGATGTTCATACACAGCCGTGCCATTCACTCGTCAGCCTACCTCGAGCGGATCCATGAATTCTGGTATGAGACAGTATATAGATTATATGTAGTATGTACTATTACTAATTCAATACTGTCTGTGTTTACGAGTAATACACATTTAAATTAAACACTTTAACGGCTTGAAACACGAAATATATTAGTTAGTTTCGGATGCTTTGCAGCTAATTCATAAAAATTTAATATATACATTTCGCTTTTTAAACCGTTAGAGTGTTTTATTTATAACCAATCATCAAAAGATAGTATGGCCAATAGGTTATGAGTAGATTTTACGTGACAGACTTAATAATCCTTTCTACGAGGACTCGGTCGCCTATTGGTAGATCACCAGGTTATGACAATAGACAGTAAACATTTTTAAACATGATGTATTTCACTGCTATAAGAACAAGTATTAAAAAACGGAGTAAAACAAATATTTAATTCTACACAACAAACATCATTTTTTGCCGAAATCCGTCGTGTCTAAGTCGCAATCGGCTTCCTTTTATTTTTTTATGACAAAGATATAATATAATACATTTGACTTTATAGCTTCGTTACCGGAAAAGTTCTTACAAATAAAAACAAAAATCAAAAATTATTTATTATAATAAACATAATAAAGCAATACAAACCTGTGTCGTGGGTGACTAGTCTCTTCCAGGTTACAAACAATGAATATCTTAAAACGAATTTATATATACTTACAAATAGTGTGATTTATACGCAATTTAGTTACTTGTAACCATTTATTTTCTACATTTCAGGCTCGTTCAAACACCAACTCAGCATTAAGGAGCTGAAGCCAATAGAATACACCGGAAGCAAAGACATACCAACGTCTCGTGTCTTCAAAGTTTGTGAAAAATGTAAGCGGACATTTTCCGTTCCTACTTTAATTGAACTACGAAGCTGCAGTCATACGCCACATCTAGATCCACAAATCTCCAATAGTACTTAAGAATAAGTGTGTCAAAATGTTACACATGCCGAGATTATCTTATTCAAAACGTATTAAATGCCGTAGAATTACCTCCCTAGATTAAAATAATATAATTGTTAAGCTGTGTTTCTTAGTCCCACAGCAGAGGTCTGTGTAATGGGGCTTTTTCCAAAGATACGGGTCCACTCTATAGCGTAAATTAGTGTTAATATTTACCAAATACAATTAATTTAGTTAACGAACGCTATGGGTGTATAAAAAATCACGCCTGAAGGTCCATTTTAGCACGTCTTTTGTGGTACAAAAAATGTATATATTTTTTTTTTCAAATAAAATTGATTACATATTACGTTAAAAGTAAAAAAACTAAATTACTTATGTAATAAAATTTTCGCCATCGATCTAAAAATTACTGGCAAGCTCTATAATGAAAAAATAAGTAAGTGTTAAAACATAGACATTTATGCATAAGCTTCAAAGTAATCGATGTGTTTACTGTACTTTAGAATATGACTTATGTTATTTGTTGAGTTGGGTTATCGCAAAAAGGATATAATGAAGACTAAATTGCTTTTTTTTAAATATCTTTTGTGCCAACCACATTTTATGTTACACGAATTTCACAATTCCCCTCCCAATTCACACCTATTCACATAGCCTTGAGATGAGACAAAATCTTGGATCTAAACATGTATCTATGTATTTTGATGGAAACAATATAGTTTTATTTTGTATCTTTAGCTTCAAAAGTACGCGCCCTGTCGCGTCGTTGCGCGTCACGGCACATCGCGTTTCAGTCTAAGCTGCCCTTAATTTAGATTCAGACATTACTTTTGACGTATTCTGAGCGACTTATACATTATAAGACGTTAATTTATTTTATTTGATGTTAGACAACTATCTTAGATTTAAGTAAGTGTATAATACTGACTTGACTGATATTGTAACTGGCGAATATATTGAATAAAGGAAATTGTATTTTTTGTTTAAGTAAAATTATGTATATAATAAGTATATGTTACGGGTAAGGATTGTTTTAATTAAATTATTTTAATAGATGTGTTTTTTTTTTTTGGGAGAGTGATTGAACACACGAGCTTTAACAATATTCATTGAGGTATGATAAACTTTGCAACATCATGAGAAACATGATAAATGTGCTTCTTTACACAATTACATACATTAAAAAAATTCAGGTAAGTAAAGTTTTGAAGACAAGCCGGAGGCGAATTTGCTTATTATATAGGAATAGGCTTTTGAGAATGATGTACATATATTTAGGCAAAACAGATGATAGTTCTTAGTAATATCAAAAAAGATCATCTAATAATACTTCATTGCCACATCGACAAAGAGAGAAAAGTACATTCGGAATAGTTTCCTTAACAACAATTCCAAACCATTATCCTCATGATGTCAACGTTGAAATATTATGAAAAATACCTTCAAGGTAAAAGGTAAAGGCCTGAAAAGATTACATTCTACGTTCACAACTGTACATTTATTGGCATTTAAAAACGTAGCATTCTATTTTGGAAAATTGTTTAGAATTATTCTTGTCGTATATCCATTGTTACTTAAAGTTAATTTGGTGAATAAATCTTTGCGTATTTTTAAAAACTCTTAAGATGAGCCAATTTAAGAAACATCATTCGTATTTTCAGTAATATTTTACTAATTTTCAAGGTAATTATCAAATTTCACTGGCTTTTAAACTAAAGTAACGACTAAATTTTTCTTAATTCAATTTAATTTAATCATGAATACTAATTTTTGTAGGCAAATAGAGATTTGTTAATGTAACTTGGTTTGTTTAGTAGCATGAAAGAGATCGCTTATAGCGGGAAGGTCGTCCGGTGTACCTACTCTATAGTTGTAACATTTTACGGTGTATCTATCTGTATGCCTTGTACACTAAACTAAATAAAATATGAGATATTACTAATTTAAAACCAAGCGTCTTAAGTTCGGCGTTCTTCGTCTTAAATGTGATATTTAATATCATATAATAAAAAATTAGTTACTTAGTTTAATATAATATATATACAATGTAATTGCTGACATAATAAATACATAACATTGAATCATTCATACTAACATCGACTTCGTCAACTTAGCTGTCTGTAACACTACATTAAGCAAAGTATTTGTAACAGAAAACAGCTATCACTGGAAGACGAATACCCCTGCCCCATAACTAAGATAAAATCTGATATCGATGCGCGAATTTACATCTGCAAATTTTGGATATTCTTACCACTCATTTAATTGTGTTGTATTGTGTGTGATTTTCCAGACGCTGGGTCAAACATCTTAAGGACAATCAGAAAATGGTTACTACAAACATGTTGCACCCGATGGCAATCAAATCCAAAACCAACTACTTATTAGCTATACCATGGTATGAGTCCGTCTATATCTATACTAAGATTTTAAAGCTATAGAATTTGTTTGAACGCGCTTATCTCAGAAACAACTTCTAATTGAAAAATATTATCTTATAAGTACAGGATTCATGGTAGGTAAACAAATTTGGTCTAAATACTTTATTAAACGTTTGCCAGGCCTGCAGTTTTATTGTACCAACTGATTTTTTATTAAAAATAGACGCGAAAAATATCGCTAACAAATGTATTGTAGAAATGTATTGAACCCTAAATAAATGCATGAATATGTAAAATGAAACAATTGTGTCACATTGCCAGTCATCGAATTGCTTTTATAACAAAAGGTGATCGCTCCACGACAACTCGTCATAACTGTAAGTGCCAACATATATATGTAATTTTTAAAGCAGATCTATTTTACTTCCGTTTAAGTTTTACTCTTTCTTGCATGATTAAGATTATACTTATAGTAACATAAGTATAATCTTAATCATGCAAGGAATGTAGTATTGAACTTTGTTTGAAATAACACACTTTAACGGTTTAAAACGCGATATATTAGTTAAACTCATTTGAAAATGATTTTTCAAATAAGTTTAACTACGAGACGTAGTCTCCCCGTGACCACGGCTGCTGCAAAGCATCCGAAACGTCGGGCCGAAGTTAAAAATCATTTTCAAATAAGTTTAACTAATATATCGCGTTTTAAACCGTTAAAGTGTTTTATTTAAATGTGTACTACTCGCGTAAACTATAGACAGGGTCTTATATAGTTACGTAAGTTGTTACATTTCCATGCTTCCTTACATATTTCTTATTATATTTAAAACATATCAATTTATTGGAAAATAAAAAGCAATATTTGCCGACTACAAAGCACGGTGGTATGTCAGCTACATTGTCATCGTTTTAAAAACTGTCAACTTTATAAAATCAATCTATCGGATCGACCATACAAACTTTACATAAATCAATTTTCTGAAACTTTGCCAGTAAAATGTAATAGTGTGACTTACATAAAAGGAAATGTAACGAAAAACAAAATTTACTATTAAGGTTCTTAAGACATCGATGCATAGCGTAGAAACTTTACCCAAATTAACAACAATATAAAATAAATGTTGTCCGTAGTTTCCGCGAGTAGTTCTCATTTAAATAAATTCCATTTAACGGTTTTAAACGCGAAATATATTATTTAACTAATTTACTGTTTAATTTAAGTACGACCCGGCATATCGGCTTTGCAACCCCCTAAAACACGGCAAAGTCTCACGGTTAATAATTATAAATAATATATAGATAAAAACACTGGTATAGAGTGTAGTGGCAGTATAAGTGTGTCGACTATTTTGTTTCTTCCAAAACTAGTTCTGGTTATTTAACGTTAAAACTTCTGGAACCAACAGTTACAGAACCGCTAATATAACACATTAACATACAATAGTCTACATTGACCTTTTCTTAACCCAATGAAAATTATATTGAACATTTCAGTCCAATTTATATGTATATCAGACTCGTTGTCAAAGAAAATATACAGAGTGCCGCTAGACTCACATTAGTTTTATTAGAATGTAGCTAGGAAGGAAATTTTCAGATTTTTCTGACCATATTATGAAAATTTCTTAAAAATCGGCCTAATATCTGGTTCAACCGAAGGAATATTCTAAGTAACGGAAAACTTCTGATTATAACTTCAAATACTTGTTGATATTGAGAAATATATTATAGTGTTTAAGTAAAACACTTTAACGGTTTAAAACGCGATATATTAGTTAAAGTTTTTAACCGTTAAAGTGTTTTATTTAAATTTGTACTACTCGCGTAAACTATAGAAGGTAGAGTATAATATACATATTGTCATAATACTACATCCAATACAAATAAAAAATCCAGTCCATGTATCAAAGGATACACGGATTGATTTTTTTTTAACATATTGCTTTATTATTCTGTAAATAGGTAAAATGAATATTCAATAAATTACGTAAGACGTATGTACAGTGTAGCACGTAACCCCGGTTACGTATGTCCGAGTCAAAACGTCAAGCAATTTAAATATTCTGACAAATAAAATCTATTAAAAGTAGATAAGGTTGAAAAATTTATGAAACAGGCAGGGCTCAAACCAAAAATCAAGCGTACCGTGCCGACACTATAACAATTGAGCATCTCTTTGACGGTTATATAAATTTATTTACTTTTTCCTTTTTTTTTATTATTCTACTGACTTTAATAGGATTTTTTAACAGTTTATCGACGGTTATACGTTAAAAAATGCGCTACAATTCAAATTAGCTTAACTCAGTGATAAATTCTTCTTGTAAAAGTCAATACATTTCTTTTTTTTGTGCATTTGTTGAAAACTCTTAGACTTCCATTTCACATTTGTATGGTTTATAAGACTTATTTTACTTCTTGTGGCTGTTGTTAGGCAATTGTCCCCTGTTCTTGTGGCTACCCTGTAATTTATACTATTAATTAAAAGCTGTAGATAAAAGATCTATTTTTAACGTCTTTAAAAGAACGTTTAAAATGTGTAACATTACATACATTTTCTCATTAGTTTAAATCTTTAAATTGATTAACATTATTTTTTTATACATAATATTGTTCGATAATTTAAATAAAACGAACTCATTGGACTGGTAAAATTTAAACAATAATTGTGCCTTTCTATCTTTGAAATATGTTTCTCCGTTTGTCAAGTCGTATAGTAGCATATTAAATTAGTCTCAATACCCACAATGCAGCAATAAATACAGTCGGTGCATTTCTACAATAATCGAGATCGGTAGTAGGAATGACCTTATTCCGCTGAGAATATCAAGAGTATAATATCATTGTCATTCAGTTGCCATGAAATCTGGAGTAAACGTGGACGTTCGTGACTTTGTGATTTTAAAGAATAAAAACAATTAAGTTTACTATAAAATATATAGTACTTGAATCCTCTCGCGCTAGTGACCCATGTTTATTAATTTCATCAATCGATGGATCCAGTAAGTTGTATAATCTATGTACCTATTCAAGTAATGGCTTAATGATTGTCGTACTTAATTAATTGGCAGCCTCCAGCAGACAATTTGCATTTTACGGTAACCTTCGCTGCAATGCATTTTACTTAACAGAAGTACTTATATATGTATATACTTATTTGAAGAAACTCTTTCATAATATGATATAGGTACCAGAAAGATATATAGGTAAAGTTACATGTGCGAAACAATCCAAATCGTCTTGTTATTATAGGAAAGTTGTTTTTATATTCTTCAAGTAGTTTGCTTAAATACTAAGTAGAGAAAGTCCACAATAGCAGTACATACACATTATCATTAGATTCTCATAAGTCCACGTACGATTCTTCTACTGCTTGCATTTTTATTTGTTTGTGCAAAAAAGTCTTAAAATATTCGGTTTCCAGTAAAATAAGGATAAGAAATATTGTTTCACACAAAATATATTAAAGTATTCTTACCAAATTCTCATCGTGTCAGTCAACCTCTCATAAAACAACACTTGCACTTATCTCAATTATTTTCACAATTGAAAACGTTTATTAATTGTTGAATCTCTTAAAAAATAAAATTTAAATATCTCTTAAAGAAACACTCTCGTTTTAAAAACAGCGGTTGGTTTTCTTGGCAACAGGCCAAAAATACCGATCACTTACAATTTTGTATGCTGAAACTATTAAACGAAACCTGAACAATATTTAATTTAAATACGTAAAATAATTGAATACTATGATAGAGTGTATATATTATATATATATAATCTAATTGTACTTAACAGCTATGACGGCCACCATGACGGAGACAAAACAGCGGACGGATCTGTCCAAATTGAGCAAGTCCAGGGAGGCTGACTGGCCGGCAGTTTTATTCTTCATCCACATTCATCTTCTCTCCTTATATGCGATATGGCTGCTTTTTACAGAAGCAAAACTACTAACAATATTATTACGTAAGTATAGAACATTTTTTTTTGTATGTGTGGCCTTAAATTGTACATAACTGCAAGCCTTTTAACAATATATGTAATTCGGGGTCATAGCAGAAGACACATGTCGTCCAATTTTCGGGTCACGGTTGTTGTTTTCTCCACCATAGACAACGAAACAGACTAGAATCTAGATGATACAAGAACGATATTTTCCAGGGCTAGATCAGACTCTTGTCACATGCTACTAAAGTAACACTGCTTTGATAAAAAATAACTCATAATTATCATTTTAGTGGTCGTTCTGACACTATTCGCCACGTTAGGAGCCACTACTGGGGCCCACAGACTATGGGCACACTCAACATATACAGCAAGCACTGAATTACGGATAGTACTAATGTTGTTTCAAACTTTAGTAGGGCAGGTAAGATTGAATCATAGCCTACTATACCTAAATATGTGTATCACCAGACATCTTCACATTCCTAACAAATATACTACAAGTGTAAGAAATAACTTGCGCATTCAATATTTAGTAGATTCGTGTCGTTAGCGAGGTGTAATTTGCTTATTACATCTAAAACTCTATTAATTAATAAATTCTCGAACGAATGATTCCATATTTCGTATGAAAAGATTTATTCTTGCTTTGTTGACGATTTGGGCTCGTTGGTCTAATGGTAGTATGTATGGCTAAAAAATGACGATCTCCACCGGATCAAACATGAATCTAATTAATTTATATTCTTTTCTGAAACATGTTGAACTTCGTCGTCGTTCGTGGTAGGACATTGCTTCCTTACGAACAACCTTTCACACATGAAAAAACCGTTTTTGGATATCCAAAGCCAAAATAGGCCGACAGCGCATATGTGATATTTCACATATCGTCAAGTAAACCCTATGCTTGTCTGTCAGTCATAAAAAATACACAATGTTGCAATATAATAAATATGTTAGAAATGCGTTTATGCAGTTTGTGCTTTCCATTTATTAATACAGTTTTAAATAAACAGTTTTCAGTTAATTTAAAAAATACCACTTACTTAGCTTGATAAAAACACAGCCAGTTAACTGTCCAATCAGCTGAGGTAAACTAGAGGAAGTCTAAAATGTCATAAGACTCGTTCACCTTAAGAAAAGTTCCGTTCTTCCGCTTGAGACAATATTTATCTCGTATCTTAAAATTTAAATATTATGAATTTTGCATACAAAACTTATATAATTAATCAACGTTCGTCACGAACTATAGCGTATGTATTAAATAGTCATTTACGTATCGAGCACGTAAACGTATAGGAGACTAATAATAAATAAAAGCTGAGATTTTTAAACGTAGCCTATATAATATACATATAGAGGTTTAGTTTGGCCCTTAAAAATCTGTGTTCTTTTTTAAAAATTCGTTAACACACGCTAATAAAGATCTTAAAGAAATATTTTCTTAGCTTCAATCAAAACGTATAATACAAAAATTTATAATTAAAATAAATAAGATATCCTGGCAAGCAATCTCTAAACTAAAACGTAATTTAAAAAACGGAAATAAATTAAAAAGTTCTCGGTAGCTCAATTGGTAGAGCAACAGCACGGAACGCTGACGATGCCGGTTCAAGTCCTTCCCGAGTCGAAAATTTTTTCAATTTATTTTTGATTTTTAAATTATATAGTGCCTTCAAGTGCAATAACATTTTTTTTTAAATGTTCATATGATTGAATGTTTTTCACGACCTTGAAATAAATGTATTAAGTTAACTCTCTTAATGATTTGGCATCATGTCTATGCTTTAATTGAATTTTATTCGCTAGGGTTCGATATACGACTGGGTGCAAAACCATAGATTACACCATGCTCATTTCAAGACGGATGGCGATCCTTACGACCACAGACAAGGATTTATTTACGCACATTTCCTGACGAGACTTCGAAAGTTGAGCGAATACCAGACGGCATTGAAAGAGTCAATAGATATGTCTGATCTCGAAAAAGATTCCGTTGTCATGTTTCAAAAGAGGTGAGCTAAATTATGACATCATTTGAATATTTGTCATTATCGTATCCTTTGTAGTCGACGCGGGTTGCACACATTTGAATAACAGTTTAAAACACGAAATACATTAGTAAACTTATTTTTGGACTCATCGTTTTACATTGTTACAGCAGGACCCCATTAAATAAATATAAGTTAACTAATGTATTTTGCCTTTTAATTCGCTTTGACCGTTAGCCGTTTTAAATTATTTCATTTAAATTATCTTATCTTAACGCACTCGAGGAGGATATAATTTTAAAAAGAAATATCGATAACATCACAACTGTTAGCTGCCCTCAACGTCTATACAATGAAATCCTCAAACTTATGCATACTATGTTGTCGGTCTTGGTTCGAGCCTTCCTTGAGCCATCTACCTTCAATCTTTCTAAATCGTTCAATCGTTCTTCTTTATTATTTGTCAAAAATGTTTTTCTATCTACTGCTATTTGAAACCTTCATTTTCCTCGAATTTTAATTGGATACCGTAATTTGTTAACAATAAATCTCGAAGGACATCTTAGATTTTAATTATACACTATAACTTTATATAATTATGTGGTTAGTTTAGTGCTTCAATTTAGAAACAAAACAAAACAATTAATCTATATTAATTTTAGGTTTTACTGGGTACTATATGGAGTATTATTCATCCTTCTCCCTTTGAACGCTCCACTTGAATACTGGGACGACAGCATAATGAGTTCTATATTTGTCATTGGATTTTTGAGATACTGTCTCGTTCTACACGCTTCTTGGCTTATAGAAAGCGGGGTGGCCCTCTGGGGGTTAAAGGAAGGCGAGAAGTAAGTGACTTGTATCCTTATTGCCCGCCTGAATTTGTAAAAGACGTTTATAAACACAATATATAAAGAATATATAAATATAAACCAACGCGATTTATGATTTTACGGGGTATTTGGCTGGTCTCTGCGAGATTCAGTCTCTGATCAACTGAGGTAGAATCTACTATCAGCTGTCATCTACAATTTCTTGCAGATGCTTATCAAACAACGCAAAAACGGTTAACTTCTAATACGACTAGTTATTGTGGTCGATATTCAACATGCATTAGTTTTTATAAAAAATGTTTGTGTCATCACTAGGTACCCACCTGACAGCAATGTAGTATTCTTGCTGAACAGAACCTTCTGGCCCCACTATCACTACATATACCCGCAGGACTACAAGTCTGGTGAATATGGTTCATATGGTAAGTTACCTCTAGTTATCTTTATATTAAATTGTATGTAAAGCAGCTTAAGAGACATGTCCCAACGGCGGCGAGTAATAGCCTAAGAATCCGATAATCTCTCGCATATAAAAAGTTCAACGGATGTTTGAGTGTATAGGAAATGAAGATGCATATTATGTTAATATTCGATCGTTGATTCTTACTCAAAAGCTATATGGGATTCAATTAGAGGGACAATCATGAATGTTTGTATGGAAATTCGTGGTTTTCGAAGCTAGAACAATGACACATTCTTCTTTGGCTTTTTGGGAATAGGAGTGGCAGTGGGAGTGAGTGTAGCAAACAGCCTAAATAATTACAAATTCTACCCCCAGTCACTATTCCACGCGGACGAAATCGCGGGCACAGCTAGTATTTAATATAATGATATAAATGCGTCATCATTTGTGACGTATACGAATACGGCGTGCATTCTATCTTACTTCACTTAGTTGTTTGTCAACTGTTTCAGCAACCTCTGACAGTTACAATAAGCTCTATTGTCAAATGACAGTTAGTGATGATTCTTTTTTTTTCCTGCAGGGTCAGGTTGCTCAACCGCGTTTATTAAAATCTATGCAGCTACTGGACTTGCAACACACCTCTCAACTTTGGAGCCCCGAACCCTGCAAGTTGCGATGGCTACCGCGGCTAAATCTAAGAGACCCATCCCAGAGTGTATAAGAGAGGCTCTCCAGAACCAAGTTTTAAGAAAAGACCACTATTTAAATTAGTGATTAGCGACAGTGAAATAAGCTATATTTAAGTACAAACTTAATATAATTCAAACGTGTTACACTTAAATATCTAATATAATATCACTTAGAATATATAAGACATATTTATTATTTCCTACCAACTCAACTTCTTTCTTTTATCGAAAGAATTCAAAGAATTGACTACAATAATTTTGTATACGGTGCCAATTATCTTTTCGGTTTTTCCAGCAGTACTCTCCAAGCCCTTGAACGAAAATATACAGATGTGTTTATGCAGACTTGACTAAAATTGTATTTTATTTTATTTCATAAAAATATTATAGTACAATAGTTTTTTTCTAGTCTATTGAATTGTAGTCAATTTCGCTTCGCTAAAAGAAACAGTAAAATAAAAATGATTGAAGAATAATAAATATTCTTATAAGGTCTCCTTCATAATTAATTGAGTATTGAACCCCGGGGAAACACTATACTTTCGGTTGGAAGGAACAAAATAAAACCAAATAAAAAAACGATCAGTTAAACAAAACACAGAAATGTCTGCTCCGTGCCCACACGAAGTACATCGTTTTTTATAACACATGCGTAACATACCGACAAAAAGCGAAGCCGTCAAACCAGTGATGATGACCACGAAAGCCGTTTGAACGTCAGCTGCCCTTGCACTTGCAAACCCTGAAGGTGATGCACACTGTGGCAGGGCAGGCACCAAACTTGAAGTCAGCCTTGATAAGGTTCCACCACTCCGCAGCTGTAGTAAGCTGTGGATATCTCATCTATATCTATACTAATATATACAACTGAAGAGTTTGTTTGTTTGAGCGCGCTAATCTCAGTAACTACTGTTTCGAATTGAAAATGCATTTTTGTGTCATCAGACCCTTAATAGAACTCACATATGGATCGGATCTTGGGAGGGAAGAAGCCTTCATAATAGTACGTCCTTACTTTTTAGTTCTATTTATAAATATTTTGCCTTAACGAAGATTAGAATACAGAATATATCGCAAAAAAATTTTATACAATAAACTTCACGAGACCAACTAATTCTGAAATCCTGAATTCTTGGTATGTAATAAAAGTCCCGTTTACGAGCTAAAGTGTAATTATCTCTATTTATCTATGGTTTTATTAATGTTGTAACATATAAAACTACCCATAAAATTGAATATGCTATTATAAGAAATAATGAAACTCACACAAATAACTAATTATAAATGGCAAATATAAGCTAAAATTAGATTTTACTTCGCCTAGCTATTCAGATTAAATTAGAAATAATAGAATAACTATCTGTTGGTTATATGGTATCCAGGACTCGACGGTTAACAAATAATCGATGATCAATTTAATTTTCATTTTAATTATCATAATTCTAACCTAACTGGTTTGCATGTGTATGTTGTCGGTTCTGTGACAAAAACTTACTTTGCAGTGCATACAGTTTAGTTATAAGAATTCTATCAAAATAAGAAATCCCGCAAGACATTGCCTATATTTCTCATAGGTATCAAGTTGTTAATGTAAAATTTCTCGTAATATAATTAAGTTTTAATTGATTAGGGAACTTTCTCAGGACTGTTGAGTTCAAATGTCACACGTTCTTTAGAAGACGTTCGTAACAAACAACAATGGATGTAATATCTACATAATTGAGATCACGTACTCGTGTTTCATATGAAGAAAATTATATATATGCGGTAAACACCAAGTTAATCAGTTATACAAATAATACATTAAGGAAACTAAATTTGGTTAATGTCACTTTTTAGCAACATTGAGTTCTTTTTTTAATGTTATACTTTAAAATGCACTTTTATTATTATTATCCTGGGCCTATATAATCTGATCTAGATGCGCTGTCGATCTATTTAAGGTTTAAAAGTTCTCATGTGGTCTTAACGATCAAAAATTTTTAATAATATCCATTTAAAATTTAAACATAGATACCTGAGCAGGATCGGTCTAGAGTAAGGTGAGCCCCGGGGTAAAGGAAACGACAGTTGAGATCGAGTGGAATGAACGGGAAGCTCTCGCAATAAACACCTTCCACGTGCCTGGCTCAATGACCTGCGAAATTAATTGGCAAATTAATACGAATCATACAATAATGCAAATATTGACCATATAGATAATGCCAATTATATTTTATCTGTGATAAAGTGAGGTTATTTAATCACATCTGCTTTTAAAGTCTAACAGTTTCAGCATTTGGAACCACGGCTCTATGAGAGGGTTAGCCTTAATTTACCACATGAATGTTGGTAGATAACACATGAATTTGAACACATGGTTAAAGGGCAGGATTCCTTATGATGTTTTCCCCGGGACTGGATAGTGCACGAGATCGTTTCCCGACCTTAATGTAAATGCCCATGGCCCAATATTAGACAGATTACTAGACAACAAAGGATATTTGATATAGGCTCAATAAATTAGACACAACAACGCTGCTTATGAGATTTCACAGAAAATATTAAATTAGATGGAAAAACCAAAACAATTACTTTTTCCCGTCTGTGTATTTATTCTCTTCAAAGATAGATTAGCTTTTGTATTAGCTAATAATATGAAACTTATATAATATTCATACATCAGAGTTAAGCGCGCTGCACGCTGTCCGGCAAAAAACGCATAGTCTTGACTTGCAGCACGCTCGAGTCCTTCCTCTGGTGACGACACAAGGTTCTCGGCTTCCGAATAACCCCTAATATAAAAAGCATTCAACTGCACATCTTTCGTTGACTGGAAGTAAAAGTACAATTAGTAACAAAACAGTTTATCGTTACGAATCAAATCAACAATCAAACAAATCAAACAAACAAACAAATCAAAGAATCAAACAAACAAACTGTTCAGAGTTTGTTTGTTTGAATGCGCTTATCTCAACAACTACTGGTTCGAATTGATAAAATATTTTTGAATATTGTCTATATTTTACGCGAGTAGTACACATTTAAATAAAACACTTTAACGGTTTAAAACTCGATATAATGCAAGGACCCGGTCAGTTTCGCCAAATACCAACTTCGACGGAACAGATGGTGCTAATTTCGCAATTTTTACTTTGACGTCAGAGACATCCATCCGGCTGCTGCAAAGCATCCGTAACGTCGGGCCGAAGTTAAAAATATTTTTCAAATAAGTTTAACTAATACATCGGATTTTAAACCGTTAAAGTGTTTTATTTAAATTAAGTAGGTTTATCGAGAAAGGAATTAGCTGGATCTATTGTGTATACGGCTTATGCAATTACCATCAAATATATTTGATCAGCCCCATTTCTGATGTAACCGATTTTCATATTAGGCGACTGCAAGACATCAGCGACAGTTCCCACATTGGCTGCTCGGACTGACAGCACCGATGTTATAAATGCTGCATACGCATTATATGTAATAAGGCCGAAAAATAGACATACAATAAGCAAGATACTTGCTGCTGGGTTCTTAGGAGTCCACGTACCGCCTAAAATAAATGACAATTGTCAAAAATGTCAACCGTCAAAAATGTCAATTTAGTAGGCAAGTTATACCCAATTTCAACAAATAAGGACTAATTTAAAATTCAAGATTTCTGTATACATTAGGAGCCAATAATCAACCTCCATATATTAAGCTTCAAGATATGTATCTAAAATTCTGAATAACTGAATAAGTTTTCTTAGGAAAATTCGTGAAAATATTATAATTTTCGGAAAACCTTTGATTTAAATACTGTTTTACCATATAAATGAAAGAAACTGTATACAGGCGTTGTAAATTGTATTGGAAAGTTCCTAATTTATATGGCTAACAGGGGAAGAGCGAGGTATTCTCGGAATTCGTTTTTGAGATATTACGTTGAGGTTTTTTAGAAGCGGAAACAGTAAACAGGAAATAGCAAAATAATTGAATTACCTTAATTCCACTTTCTTATCGTTTTAAATTACACAATGATCCCAGCGACTTAATGCTTGGGGATAAACAATCCATGAAAAAGATTACGTAAAAAATATTTGTTGGTATAGTTTTCTCAAGATAGCGATCGTATATGTTTAAAAAAGTAAACGCCTTTAAACGTATAATAATCTGTCTGTAGTTTACGCGAGTAGTACACATTTAAATAAAACACTTTAACGGTTCAAAACGCGATATATATTGCAGAATCTGCAAGGAACCGGCCAGTTTTGCCAGATACCAACTTCAACGGAACATATCGCGCTAGCATAGCAGTTTTTTACTTTAACGACAGAGATGCCCTCCATCTATAGTCTCCCCGTAACCACGGCTGCTGCAAAGCATCCGAAACGTCGAGCCGTAGTTAAAATAATTTTCAAATAAGTTTAACTAATATGTATCGCGTTTTAAACCGTTAAAAGTCTTTTATTAAATGTAATAATTTTCTTTATAATTTTCAAGGAATACCAACCTTGTTGGCACAAAATTCCCGTTGACCATATCAAAGCTTCTGTACAAGTCATTGCACGCGATTTGGTCCTCAATAGTGATCTTGATATGTTTGTTATTATCACAATGACTAATGCAGCCATAATTATAACAAAAGCCACGCAAACTAGTAGGCGAGTGCTGAACGGTGCTAGGAAGATATCTCGAACAGACGACGTTTCTTGATTACGAATGTAAATGTTGTACCTAAAACAATAATTATTCATAATACGGGATTCATTGGTTTGTCGTATTGATATTATAAATGCGAACTTGTGTCTTATATTTGTCTATCCCGACTTCACTAAACATACAATCCACTTTATTTAAAGGTAAAATTTCTAAGGCTCCCTTTGCTTCAATTAAAACAGTTTCTAAAGATCTATAGAAAGTATATCCTTTCCTTAATTAGTAACGTAAGTAGATTACCAAATCACAATACGCTTGAAGCCCAATTTAATATCACACAGGAATACAAAGCATACAACTCAAGCAAAATTATTATAACACAATGGTTGTTATAACCGTTATTTAAGACTTCGAAATGCGATATTTATATAATATAATAGCTGACCCGCACCCACCTCGTTGGGGGGTAAATACCCCCTGCCCCTGCCCCCCCCTTTTTTTTCCCCCCCCCCCCTAAAAAAACTTTCTTTTTCCCCCCCCTTTTTCCGCGGGGGGGGGGGGCCCCCCCCCCCCCCTCCCCCCCCCCCGCCTTTTTTTTTTTTTTTTTGGGGGTTTTTTTTTTTTTTTTTTTTTTTTTTTTTTTTTTTTTTTTTTTTTTTTCTCCCCCCCCCCCCCCCCCCCCCCCGGGGGCCCCCCGTTTTTTTTTGTGTGTTTTTTCCCCCCCCTTTTTTTTTTTTTTTTTTTCCCCCCCCCCCCCTTTTTTTTTTTTTTTTTTTTTTTTTTTTTTTTTTTTGGTGGCCCCCCCCCCCCCCCGGGGGGGGGCCCCCCCCCCCCCCCCCCCCCCCCCCCCCCCCCCCCCCCCCCCCCCCCCCTTTTTTTTTTTTTTTTTTTTTTTTTTTTTTTTTTTTTTTTTTTTTTTTTTTTTTTTTTTTTTTTTTTTTTTTTTTTTTTGGGTTGGTGGGGGGGGGGGGGGGTTTTTTTTTTTTTTTTTTTTTTTTCCCCTTCCCCGGGGGGGGGGGGCCCCCCCCCCCCCCCCCCCCCCCCCCCCCCCCCCCCCCCCCCCCCCCCCCCCCCCCCCCCCCCCCCCTTTGGGGGGTTTTTTTTTTTGCTTGTCGCCCCCCCCCCCCCTCTCCCCCCCCCCTGGGGGGGGGGGGGGGGGGGGGGGGGGGGGGGGGGGGGTGGGGGGGGGGGGGGGGGGGGGGCCCCCCCCCCCCCCCGGGGTCCTCCCCCCCCCCCCCCCCCCCCCCCCCCCCCCCCCCCCCCCCCCCCCCCCCCCCCCCCCCCCCCCCCCCCCCCCCCCCCCCCCCCCCCCCCCCCCCCCCCCCCCCCCCCCCCCCCCCCCCCCCCCCCCCCCCCCCCCCCCCCCCCCCCCCCCCCCCCCCCCCCTCCTTCCTTTTTTTTTTTTTTTTTTTTTTTTTTTTTTTTTTTTTTTTTTTTTTTTTTTTTTTTTTTTTTTTTTTTTTTTTTTTTTTTTTTTTTTTTTTTTTTTTTTTTCGATTGTTAATCTATTCATGTTTTTGAGAACCTTACAAAGATTCTAATCGAGCGAAATGTACCTAAAGATCCGAATTATTTAAAAGTATTCTTTGAAATAGTACATTCAACTATTTCTTCGTAGTCCTTAAAAGTTGAAGTTTCGATTTGATGAGGATACGAATATGTAATTTCTTTCTTCGAAAATGTGAGAACAGTACAAGGGAAATGGTTGCCATTGGTTACATTATGTAATTATGGACTTAAAAACCAAAAAAAAAACAAATGGCACACAATGGTACTTATTAAAGGATTGGATTATCTAGCATGGTCTTTGTACTCACATAGTTTCCGCTATTGGAAAAATAAAGTCCATCTCTTGCTGACACGACACTTGTTCAGTTACGGGTTCCAGGGCGATATCCACCGTGTAATCCAACAGTGCTCCAAGCAATCCTGACCACGCCCCTTCATAAGTACGAAATCCCAGTTTATTATAATATCGAATCGTTGACCTGCAAACGTCGAGCAAACTATATCAGTAGTCAAGGGATTCCACATAATTGGAAGTGAGAAAAAACTAATGTTAGTAAATAAAAAAACAATTTTTAAAGTTTGTTTTATTTTTGCTCAGGTATATGCTATATTTTTTCATATATTTATATCTTACACTATTGATACTATATAATTTCACTAGCATCAATATTTCTCAGCCAACTTGTGTCGTTTTTACCGCCTCTATAAATGGTGTTGCCTAGCATTGCGTTAAGCGCGAAAATACCTAGGTTCGAATCCTAAAATCGGGCAGGGCACAGTAGTCCAATCAACTAAGAGTCTATAAAAAAACGAACATTGCAACGAACACAGAAATATGCTCCTATGCTCCTGTGGAAACGAGATTTCGCATATTCAGTGCGTTTTTTAGATAAATTGCTATTCAGGGCGTATGTTTTTTTTAAGACAAGCTAAACTAGATAAAGCCAAATAATATTTGTTTCGACGCTTTATCGAGGTTATGTTTAATCAAATACTATTACTATACCGAGTATAGTGAAGACTATGTAAATGAGAACCAAGAAAACTGTATTTTTTTACTTTTGTTGTCCCTAAAATGACAAAGTTGGAGTTTCAAAACATCACCACTGGATAAGGGAAAGATACAATTACGCAATAATTGCCTTAAAGTAATTTCAAATTACAGGAAAACCACGAAGTTCAAATTGATTGGTTTAAGTGTGAACTATAAAAATACTCGTTATCAACTCGAGGTTCGCAAATCACCAGAGATTCCAAATGATCGCTTTGCAAACTTTTGCCGATAAATGGAAAGTTAAATTAATATCGTACCTCTACCATAAAATTAATTTGAATTATAATTGTTCAACAAATTATTGGTATCTCCGTGTCATACCTAGTTCCTGCCAGGTTAGTACTAAGTATATATTACATTATAATAAGAAACATAAAAACTTTTTACCTACAGTTTACGCAACTAGTACACGCAGTAGTAGAACACATTTAAATGAAGCACTATGACGGTTTAAAACGCGGAAATATATTTGATAATTTATTAACTACAAACTACAAATTCCGGATGTTTAAGCAGCCGTGGTCACGAGGAGGTTAATAGTATTGTATTTAAGTTAGTACTTAATATAATACGTACTATTAAGTATATTTATTTTTTTATTAAAAGTACTTTGAAATAATAAAACTATAGTAAAAGCTCGTCTCACATACGTTGCATTAAGCCGCACGGTAAGAAAATACAGCAGGTCATCTAACAATTCTGGAGCAGACGACCCATCTTCCCCAGGAGCTGGTTGTTCATCAGATGTGTAATTACATCGACCTATTATTAACTCTTCTCCTAGGAGGTTACGAGCTTCAACGGGGTACGGCATTTGAACAAAAGACATGGAATCCTCATACCTCCACCGACCTACAAAAAATCTCGTTATTTATTTAGTTTTAAGCTGGTTAAATATAATATACTCACCTAAATATACTCCGTACAAAGTGGAGTTTACTCTAGCCTTAAAATACTGCATAACATGAACGCCTGCAAAATCTCGTTGGATTTGTGATAATCTAGTAATCGCAAAATGGCTTGCATTTATCATATTAAATTTCCTTGTATAGTTAAAATATATATGTCCACTTCTCAACAATAATATTTCGTTCCTATTTCGTTTAAACACTTTACTCTTGGCGATATTGAAATATCTTTTAGAAGTTCGATAATAACCACCTCCAACCTCATTCTCAACACACTTTCGAGATCGTATTTTAAGTTCTGAGCAGTTATCGAGTTTTCCGTTCTCATAATAGTTCTGCTGATTATTCCTTGTTATTTGGTATTCGAAGTTTCCTTTACAAATTTCAAGATGGCCGCGATGCATTTTACTAGGGAAGGCGACGACCATATTTTGATCATATCGTAACTCTGTTGCGTTCAATACACGATTAATAAATGTGAGGTCATTCAGTGATTTTGCTATAATCAACCAGTCTGAAGAAGCTGTATTTAAATCCCAACTGTTTAACTGCAAAGTAGAATAATTCCTATGTCGAATAATATTTATTTTGTTATAATTTTAAAAAATGCCGATTAATATTATACGCAATATTTGTATTGATTGGAAACTCTGTTAAAAGAACAATAATGAAATACATACTTAATATAACTAAAAATAATAAAAGTTTTCATTTAAAAATTAATATGTTTGTAGGTATGTTGGAATAAAGCAGACCTTTTTGATTTGTTCCAATAGCACAGTTTTATTTTGGATTTCAGGTGTTAAAATAATAACTCCAATGTTGTTATGATAATGTGGTCTTGATTGAACGTTAAGAGCTATCGCGACTCCATTGATTCCTAAGCATTTGATGAGATGCAGTAACATCCAGGTGCAACCTTTGGGATTAACCAAATATAAGAATATATATATTCCCTAATATTCTCCTAATAGTACATTTAATCCTCACAAGTTTCTTATCGTATAAAAAATAACGTATAACCCTTCGAGGTTCCTATTCTAACATTTTAAAAGTAAATTTAAATTTGACTCATTTGACTCACGGTAGCAATGTATGGCTAATCAGTTTATAAAATTTCAAAAAAAAAATGGATCTAATCTCGTAATCTAGATTTCAAAGGAATATCGGAATTCCGTTCTATACACGAATCAATAATTGTATGTTACTCGAGCTAATTAATTTCAGTGAAGAGTGCACTATGTTTATATTTAAATAAAAAAAAAATAAAAAAATTTAAAACCCATGCTAAAATGGTTATTTAACTGAGAGGTAACGAGTTCAAAACCTGAGTCGCACGAAATGTTACTCCAATATTTTTATCAAATCCTTTAAAGAACCCTGTAAAGTCTATAGTTTGGAGAAGGTAATATTAGCTAGTCGCGTTACTCGGTATCATCAATCATCTAGTAATCGTTTAATTCTAGTTTGTGTAATCTTACCCTTTGCGTATTTTTTTAATCACAATTGATATTACATTGAGGTGACGGTTACCTCATCTTATTATACTTAACCTCTCGGAAAAAACTACTTTTCCAAGATTTCATGTTAAACCCAAAAGATGAAAGGTCAATTGAATAACAATATAAAATTATATAACGAATATTGTTAACTATTTTAATATTCTGGGGGCGGGATCAGTCGTTTGGGATTACCCGGTGCTAATAACATATCTACTCATAACATTGACGTCGGAGTAACACAATACCCCGAACATAAGTGTAGAAGTTATTAAAATGTTCGTTTTATCTGAACTATTGTGAACTGTCTATGTAAATTGTGCAAAAAATAGCTCAACTAGGAATTACCAAATTGAACAACATTATTTTCTAAATAAAAAATGTCTGTTCAGAAGTTATACAGCAAGGGTATTTCAGCTTTGATGAAGTGAACCTGACTATAGTATGCCTCTGTCATACCTTATAAGTTGTCGTACGTTCTCCTTTATTTATGCGTGCAACGGAAATATAATAAAACATCTATGCAGGTAGTACATATAAATACTTTAAAAGCCCTCAACTACTGTTAGCGACTACTTTGGTTGATATTACGAATAACCGGCCGCTTAGTTTCCGATGAAATTATGAGGATAGATGGCAGTATATGTCAGACAGACATATAACGGTTTTTTGTAACGTTGATTGTGTTCTGGTATTCTGTCCTGTATTTGATAAGGATTTACTCTGCTGTAATATAAGTGTGAATAGTGTGTCGTTATTTCGCTTACCTAACCTACGTTATAACACTACTTATTTATAACTTCAATAGGCATTCAATTTAGTGACATCATTAACGTTATCATATCTAATTTATTTTTGACAGTTGGCAAAAACCGCTTTGGATTCCTACAGTACCCACTCTCGGAACCTCGTAGGTAGTTTCACTCATTCTCATGCATAAAGTAAATGTATATCGTATAAGCACAGTTTTCAGCAATACATTTTTCAATAAACTTACCCTGACTCTGAGCATCACCTGGGGTGAAAATCAAAGCTTGATTCCAACTCCGCGATACTACATGGTCTATTATATAGAGAAAACTTTCAGTATTACACTTTCCATGAATAAGTGACGACATGTTGAAGAAAGCCACATAAAACACAATCAAAAATGCTATACCACGGATGAACATTGATGAAAAAATTACTGCTGTGAGTACGCGGATCTTTTAAAGAAGTTTTCGAGTGCCAACACCAAGACCGACTTAAGCTGGTTCGATTGAAATAAAGGGCTGACAAATGATGCACGCCCAAAATAGTTTACAATGTAAATTGTGAACGATAATCCATCACGTGTATTTATTATATTTCTTATACAAAAGCTTACATACTAAATCATTCCCTTTCTATAATATTCTTAGAAGACTATCAATTACATAACGACAGTGACACGAAGAGGACAATATTTTTTTACTAAAGCCAATTTATTTTAATACAAATGATTAATGAAATTTGACTTAGGGAAAATTTTATCATAAATTAACGCAATGTATACGAAAATATAGATGCAACACTAGATACATGTGTAAATGCTTAGCATTGCCTTAAGCGCGAGAGAGCATGGCTTCAAATCCCAGGGAAACATAAAATTGTGTCGGTCGGCAGGGCGCAGAAGTCTGATTAACTACTTGCTTTAAAAGAACGGAACACTGAAACGAACGATAAGATCCCAGTGGGGGACTTAAAAAGGACTGAATTGTTAGATTTGAATGTATAAATAAGCAAAGCAGTGTTTCGTATTTAAGAGTCTACTATGCGGATAGTAGTTTAATTAGCTATATCTGAAAACTAAGTCATCAGTCCAGAGCCATAAAGGATATAGCTAACATTAATAAAATTCTAGCAACCTACGCTGCACAATATTTAAAAGGTAAAATTCCTGAAGTAAAATGAATTGAAAAACCATACATTTCGTAAAATATGTAATATCTAAAAATGTCGATCCTTAGGGTTTAGTCATATATATTTTTCACCCTGGACCAAATTAAAATATGCTCCTAATTATGAACACTGTAGAATACATGCTTCTCTCTCTATCCAGTATTATATGACTAGTATCGAAATAATTTATAAATAAAACTTTGCAATAATTACATGAATCTTAAAACAGCTCTGACTTAAGCAGAAAAGTATAAAAGTGGCCACCCTTTTCTACAAAGTGGAGATTTATATTACTATACTGACTTTTTTCAGTCTTCAATTTGTAAGCAAGCTTCTTTTAATGTTTGGTCTTCGATTTCCTCTTTTATTAAATTTGAATTTAACTTTACGTCTTTAACAGGTCTCAAATTTTCATCTTTTTGTATCTTTCTTTTTAAACTGATTGTCTTATTGGATGATCCGACATCACAATGTTCACTATTAGACGCTTTTCTTTTTTTTGCTTTTGTGACTACAAAATCCACATCAGACGAATCATCATCAAGTCCTGCATATAAGGGTACAGAACGACCACTTCTTGTTGACCTTTGTGGGAGAATCCTAGTTGTTTCTTCTAGGATTTGTAGTGGTGGGGGCCAAACAGCGAGATTAACTGACTGTCTAGCTTGTCTATAATTATTAATGGACATAATTTTAAAATAGACCACAAGAAGCCTAGCTCTTTCAGAAGCAGCGGTCACACTCGGAAAGAGACTCCAGGGTAGTCGTCTGTCTCTGACATTCAAATATTTTCTTTTCATTTTTACTTTTGTCAATGAAGTATTTTCTTCTTTCTGAAAAAGCAATATACAATATACAAAAATTACTAAAAAGTCTAAACAAGTATGTAAAATTAAAAGCTGAGCTGTTTGAAGGATAATGGAGAAACAGTTTTCAACATTTTGCTATTCAAGTGGAATGATCAGAAAATGTAGAGTATGCTTTGACTTGTCAAACCATACTCTACATCATTTCATGACTCTTTTGCTTTGACATTAGCTTTAAAACTCCAGCAAGTTCAAGAAATTCCAATGAAAGCCTTAAAAATTTATGGCACACCTTTTGTCTTTCTTCATCTTCGGCTGCAGATTTTGAAAATTTCAATACTTTCAAAAGGTCTGTCATCTCTTCTTTACTCAAATTTTCTTCACTCAAGCCATATTCTAAAAAAACAGAATTCCTTAAAGATTTTCTTGCCAAAAACAATACATTATATATTACATACACAAACATTTACATTTGCAAGGGGTTTCTATTAAAGATATAGTTTATAACTGTTCCTTAAGCGCACAAATAATTTAGATAAGATATATCTTTGTCTTTCAAACTGTTCGGCCATTGTGAGCGAGAAGAGGTTCTCGACGTTTCGTACCGTATATATCGATATGAACTATCATAATTCTTCGAGCAATCGAGGAGTTAACATCTCCTGATGATGCCGTCCACACGAGATGGCGAAACGTCGAGAACCTCTTCTCGCTCACATCGGCCGAACAGCCCGAAAGACAATGATATGCTGAACGATGGCCTTGAAAGCCTCACACAATTTAATTTCAATAAGATGTTTAGCAAGATATACTTAGTAAAAAGTTTTTTTTTTTATTTATATATTAAATGCTTAATACCTGACTAAACAAACTTATTTTTGGAATGGTTTTTTTAACCATTATTATACAAAATTACAACAACATATGTTGTGATGAGGAAAACAATTTTTAGTTAACGAGTAAAGCCGCAGGGCGCCTTTAATTTTTAATGTAGAATTAGATAGTTAGTTTACATATTATATGTTAATTTTTACCGGTCAGTTGATGTCGCAGTGACTTGATATCGGCATCTGAACTTTCTTCAGACGATAGAATATATTCCATTGTTTATCTCTTTGTACTGTAACAGACATAATTTAGGGTATAAATGTAACGGGAATATCTAAAAAAAACATTTATATAGGTACTTACATATAAATACATTAAAAGCCCTGCTACTAATTTACGATTTGTATTTTACGAATTGTAACGAGATCATTAACGTCGTCATATTTATAATCGTAAATTGTAATCTAATATTTCTTTATTTATTTATGATCCTTGTAACTTGTTATGATTATTTTTTTCTGAATCCATTAAATGTTTACTTCTCTTGTTTTCATAGAATTCACAGCGCTTCAAATATATAGAGTAAAAATAACAAAACTGGTTTAGTGTCACAGACGTATAATAATTTCAGAATACTCATACATTTCTCTTATTGAGCTATATACTACGAACTACACTTAATCTGTGACTATATTCCCACTTTTTTGACCTACATCACTCATACTCACTCATAGTAAAAACTTAATATGTATATTTATATATTGTATGTTTTCAATAATTTTTACTGTTTTGTGAGAAAATAATAATATTTAATTTAGCGAGCTAATAAAGTTAAATTAGCTTTAAAAATGTAAGGGAACTTCCAACAAAAATTTCGTCATTCATTGCATTTACGTACAATACATAATTATTCTATTATCACTAAAAGTATTGTCTGAACAGTACATGTCGTATTGGGAAATAGTACGTTTATCAGCGCTTGTGACCAAAGGAGCCGTTTTGAAGTACAAAATGATTAGGAAAATCGAATAATTGTAAAACTTATTGGAATCAAAAAATGGAAGAGGAACTAAGATGTTTCTTATGTAAAGAATTTTATAGAGAGCCTGTTTTACTCCCGTGTGGACATGCATTGTGTCGTATTTGCGCTGTCAACTTACAAACACACGTGCATGATGCAGATAATGCTTCAGCTTCAGCATCAGATTACCAAGAGGCGGATAAAGCGTCAGTTTCAAGTGAAACAGATAGTGGAGTAGTATGTGGTTCAAGGCCTAACAGTTATGCTGGCACGCCTGCTACTGCTGCATATCCGTCTACAGCGTTTAGCCTTTCTTGCCCCATATGTAACAAACGAATTTATTTAGATGACAATGGCGCTGAGGGCTTGCCACCTTTCCGTGTCATGCGAACAATTGTTGAAAGATTTGGGGATGTCAATATTGCACCACCAGCTGAAGAAGCATGCCAAATGTGTGAGGGCGACAAGCGAGCAGCAGTTGTCAGATGTGAACAGTGCTCTGTCAGATACTGTGCCAGCTGTAGGGATGCTTGGCATCCTACACGAGGACCTCTTGCCCAACACGAGTTAAAGGCGCTGGGAACTACATGCGGTGACCATGGTGCCTCCCCTGTTCTATATTGTAATGCTTGCATAATTCCAATTTGCCAACGGTGCCTGAATGAGAGACATTCTTTACATGAAACACAACCGCTTTCTAATGCAGCTAGAGCTTATAAGGTATATATTCTATTGAATTACACCATTACTTGAATCTGAATATGTTTATACAAATATACAATCTTTAACTTTGTTTCAGACTGAATTATCACAATCACTCCAACAGCTATCAGAAGAAGCAAAAGCTGTAACGGAATATATACAGTTAGTTAAAGGAGCAGGAGAAAAAGTTAATGTAAGTGTTTGTAGAAGTACCCTTAATAGTATTTATTTTAGAAAAGAATGTAATAAGTCTTAGAACATCAACAAAATTTTAATTATAATTTTTTTTTGCCTTTTCTGCATGGTGGGATTGACACATAGTGTCATAACTGAATTGAAGCCACCTCTTTATACACAGAGACAAAACATAAATGTCTTTATTGAAAACAAGCTTAAGAAGTCGTTAAGTAAATTTTCTTTATAACAGGATTCATGTGAAGAGTTAGAGAGACAAATTGATCAAGCTTGCTTAGAAATAACTCGAACAGTTGAGCGAAGACGGGATGAACTTGTAAGAGCGGCTAGAAATACTAGATCTCAAGCTGCTAACAACATGAGATCTCTGACAGCCCATGCTGCTCAAAAGTTGCGAGAAGCAACTGCATTACTACACTTTTCAATTGAAGCCTTAAAGGAAACAGATAATGCAGCTTTTCTTCAGGTAATATGTTTTAAACAAAAACTATATTTTACAAGTTAAAACTTTATTTAGTTTTGAAAATGATATAGGCAGGACTGAAATGTGTTAGTGCACAACACACTTTTGCTCCGTCAATATGCATATGTATTTTGTTTAATTTTTAATTAAATTTATAATTTAAAGCATAACTTGAAGAAATAAAAACATTTGTCCATTAATTATTATGGAGTGATATTGACGTTATTCAAGGCAATCTATAACATGTCACTTGTTCTAATGAAACTTATCTAATCTCATGTAACTTATAGTGCCTTATCTCTATTAAATTTATTCTATTATGTGTATTGCAATGGAATTTAAACTGCAAGATAACCCAATATGCATAAAGAACTTAAGTATATTAGAGTACCAAATGATGCCATGTAAATAATGAAAAAGTAGACAATTAGTTTAATACCCTAATTAACTGTAATTAAATTTCCTCATCTCTGGATTTCCACTAGCTCTTGTTCTTTTACAATTTAACAGAACGTGATTTTCAACTGATATCATAGAGGGTATCAAAATAAAGTGAGCAAGGAATTAAAAAATGCCAACAACTTTTTAGTAATAATATTTACTGGTAACCTGGTACTCGCGCTTACGAGATCTATTTGTGTCATTGTGGAATTGATATGCATACATGACTTGCGTTTGATGTACCAGGTTGGCAATATTCTCTCGGCGCGCGCGCAGGATACGGCGAGTGGGTTGCGCGACTCTCTTGAGACACCGCCGTCTCCATCTGCACTCACACTTGACATCGAACCGGTCCTCAGGACCGTTAAGAGCATGAACTTTATTGAATGTATACGTAAGTGCTTTACTGTATATGAATTTTCCATTATAATCCTCCTATTACAAAAAATAAAACATACTCAGATGAGTGAGTAAGTGACTGAAGCTTTTTGAAAATTTAAAATTAAAATATACTTTATTCTCTTTAAAATTTAAAAAATCATTTAGATTCGACCAATTTTTTTGGTCGTCGTGATTCTACAGGATGTTCAAAAGAGCACCATAACTGAGAAGAACAACCAAGAAACTCAGTGACGCTTTTTTAAATCCATACTATTATAAAGGCGAAAGTTTGTAAGTATGGATGTATGGATGTATGGATGTTTGTTACTCTTTCAGTAAAAATACAATGGATTTGAATGAAACTTACCACATAGCTTACATCAGAATAATTAGGCTACAATTTTGAGGTTTTTAATGTCGGGTCGTAAAAAAAAATTTTTTGCGCTTACATTGCAAACCTGACTGAATCCACAAATAGATCAAAACAATGTACTAAGTTTGTAACTAAAAAGGTCTCCAAAAAGTCCGTGATGGTATTTTTATCTCTAGGATAACCCACAAAACATTATCCTTTACTTTGTACGAGAAATAATGGCTTATTTACGAAGCGATTTTAAGCAATACAGTATTAATATCCAATTAAGTATCTTAAATATTGTGCATTTATTAAAGATCAATATGGCTTTTTACAGCATGTAAATTAAATAAATATTTCGAATTACAGATTAAAATGCAGAGTCATAGGAATTTCGGCGATAAATACCGGCAGCGGTGCCAGGGAACGGGCTGGGGGAGCGGTAGGTGCGGTAGGGAAGAAGTGGCTCATCCTGTGCGCGACCCGAAATCGGGCAGACGCGTGAGGGCAGACGTCGTTGACGGTTGTGTCCGTTTTGCGAATTTTCAAGGCACTAGCGATTTGATAAAAACGTATGGTCGCCTACTTTTGTTATTAAGCCTAAGGTTGTTATTGCCAGGTTTCTTTTTGGTTAGGAGTTACACGTACAAAAAGATACTTCATTTAATTCAATTACAGATAGGTTAATTAAATAGGCAAGGATTGCATAAAGTACATATAACATAACTACCGTACTTATGGAAGTATAGAAACAACAGTACTTAAGAATTATGCCGCGAAAGGTAAGTCTAATCTTTCTGAAGCTCTGATAAAACTCGAAATATGAAATAGCTAGACTTAACAGACGTTTCCACAAGCCGAACTGCGAAGGCTTAAACAAGCAGACGTGAGGCAGCTCAAAGAGCTGCTGAGACACCAGACAGTCCCAAGATAGACGTCACAGCATGCTGAGTATCTACATCTCAACGGCTGCAGAGACACCCGAACAGTCTCAATCTCGACGTCAAAGAACTAATATCTGGGATCTCAACAGGCTTCTGAGACACCCGAACAGTCGCAGGATCGACAGCATTCGATAAAACTGCATTTGAGTACGATGAAACTCTTGATTACGAAAGCCACAAGCTTATAAAAATAGAAGCGATGAATAAAGAATGCAGATTTTGCGGTCTCTAATGGAAAGAGGAAGCAGGAGGATGTGTTGTTCGGGAGGAAAAGTAGTTCTTCCTTCAATAGACGAGCCTGTTGAACCTCTTAAAGAACTTTTTTTTCAAATGAAACAGATGAGTCTCGCCGTTTTTAAAAATAAAAATTTTCTACGGTCAGCTCTATGTGGCTTGCTCAGTCTTTCCAAAGCGAGGAATTTGCATGTTTATGCTGAAGGAAAAAAGATCGTTAAATTAGTTTATAGGAGATACTCAGTACGACCTATAGACCTATGATTAGGTCTCTAGTGTAGTTACGTATTTCAGACTAGACTAACGGGACGAACCACGGCCAGTATGTCTTATAAACCAATACATTGTTGTAAATTTATTAACCTAAGGAGCAATTAAAATTGCTGCCAGGTGGTCTTGTCATTATAGAAATCATACGCCTGTCTATATTCAGACAATAATACGCCTTTTGAGACAATCTAAATTTTATAACTATAATCTCCAATGGCGGATCGAGCTTTGGCGCCAGGAGGGGCTCACTTAGTCGTGGTCAAGTCAAGAATTTATAATTTTATTTAGATAACAATAGATACTACAGGTAAAAAATAGTTATTTTATGTATGTACATAAACATACTGTCTTTAAGTACATTTGAAAAACTTAACGCAATAATACGTTCTATAATTTCAATGTGGCCAAAGCGGCTTAGTCCTGAAACCAGCTCAGGGGGAGATCGTGACTCCCCCCTGGACCTACTGTTGATTCTCTAGTTTATAACCATGTTTTATTTCATCATTCTTGGAATGCAGCTCCGGAAAAGGAAATGAAATCATCAGGTATTCTAAAATTTTTCTCTAGATATAGAAGTTATACTTATTAGTATCATCCAAGTCAAAATAAGCCTATGCAAATATACTTTAATATGTACTATGAAACAAGTAAATAATGGGATATTACCATTTTATAGCCCCAGGGGCCCCAGAAATGGCGGTAGAGGCGTGTGCAGCGAGGGGATGCTCATGCACATTGGCGTGGCGTCCCCCCGCGGCCCCACACGCTGTCCGTGGCTACATTCTAGAACTGGATGACGGCTTAGGAGGACCATTTCGTGTGAGTTAACCCTTAATTAAGAATATTAGACACGTAGTGATTTTTAATCCACAAGACCAACATATTTTTCCCTTCAAAGATTCTGAAGTGTTGAGATATTTAGATATCAAAGCCTATACTAGATTATATTGTTTAAAATAAGACACATTTTATATAAAAAAATAAGCAGTTAATTTTTGGGTTTTTTTTTTTTTTTTTTTTTTAATAAAAATATATCAAAATTTAAGGATACTTCTTCACAATGTAAAAGTAACTCCTTATTTTCTGTTATTTTTTATGGAAAATATTCTTATATTCATTGGTAGTTGTATGCATTTGCAGGAAGTGTATTGTGGTCGAGAAACAGTATGTACCGTGGACGGTCTACATTACGCGTCGCTGTACAGCGCCAGAGTCAAAGCGTTCAACGGAGCTGGAGAGGGGCCCTACAGTGAAGTTATTGGACTTCAGACATCACCAGGTTAACTATCATTTTATTCTAATCCAACTATATCTTTTTTGGTACCATATTGCCCCATTAATATCGGTATACACAGCGATTCAATGCTTACTCACTATCTCACCATTTGCAACATTACAAGTGTGTCTCTGCCTGAGAAAAGATACATATATTTTTTTAAGCACCAGGAGATAAAGTTGCCGAACCCACCTAAGGTACCACTAGAACAGCTTCTTAAATAAACTAATACAATTTTCCTAATCTCTAGTGGCTTGGTTTTCGTGGGATGCACGTTGTGCGAGCGCAGAGGGCGGGCTCGTAGTAGGTGCTGAGGGACTAAGTGCACGCGCGGCCGGCTGGCAACCGCGTGTTCTTCTCGCCGACCAGCCTTTGGCGCGAGGATTGCACTATTGGCGTCTACGCATAGACCACTACGACGGCGACGCAGACCCAGCTTTCGGCATCGCTCGCGCCGAAGTAGCTAAGGATAAGATGCTAGGTTCTGAAGATTATTTTAATTGACTATATGGGGTTTTTATCACATTAAAGAAACTAATAATATCAGTAAATAACAACGAAGATCATAATATAGATTATAGAGTCTAACCTTTTTATTTGAACTTTTATGCCATCTGCAAAATCGCAATTCTTTTTAACTTTGAAATAGTAACTACGTACTTCATTAGTGTGCACTTTTTAGTAAACTGTTTACATAACAACACATTCATTACTTGTTCGAACTTTTAAATCGGTTGGATGGATTTTTATTGTCTTATAATATTAAATTTAAAAATTAGTCTTTATTCTTTATACATTATAAAAATTAACTTTTATGATTTATTCGTTTTGCAGAAGGCTTTTCATTATTTGAAATAAAAGAGATTTAACCAATATTTACTTATTATTTGTAGGTAGCGACGCGCTCGGATGGGCGATGTATATAGACGGGTGTCGGTCTTGGTTTGTGCATGGAGGTGCGCACGGCGGTCGGGCCAGTGGCGGCATCTCGAATGGTGTAACTGTTGGCGTGCTACTGGATCTTACGCGCGGTACTCTTCGCTTTACTGTCGACGACCAGCCACAGGTAAATAAGGGCAATATTAATTGTCAATATTTTTATATGTATATAAGTTCCAAATAACATTAAAATAAGTACATATACATTTTTTTAACAAGACAAAACAGACAAGCCTAAAGCTCACGTATATGAAACACCCCAGCTAAATAACTTTAAAAAAATATGCCATCACCTATTATTTTGATTTATTCGATATTACGTAATGCTATATATTTTAGCTAAATAGTTTCATGTGATAAAATTGTTATAGCTAACTATACGCTGTAGGTATTAATTCCATTACATCCCTCTTTATAACTCTTACAGGGAGACATCGCTTTCACGGGACTCCGCGGTGCGTTCTACCCAGCGGTGTCTCTAAATCGAGGTGTCGCAGTAACACTTCAGCCTGGTCTTCCACCACCCCCGGACCTCCTCATGTCTAATCTGAGTATCGAATAAATCGCGTCACCAGACCAGACGTCCTTAATCAAAATCGAAAACAGGGAAATTTTAAGTGAAGAGTCCTCATCTGTAAGTCTAGTTAAATTAAAAATATCGCAGTTTTTACTTAACGTAAACTTTGGTATACTATATCAATGCTAAGGTTAATTATTTTTTACACTTTTTCATATGCTTAGGTACAATTTTCAATTCAAACATATCGTTGTTAGATATAATACGGCCGATGTAACTTGGCAAGTCTAAACATAGGTTAGACGAACCGTGGCGCATGTACACTCGTAAAGAAAACTAATACTGCCATCTATTTTCGTTACTGGGATAAATGAAAGATTTTACCTATAGCAAGCAAAAGTAACATACCAATAATTTCAAAGAGAATAAGGGCTACGAACACTTATCTTCCACTAAAATACTGAGACAAAAGAAAAATAAAAGATTTTTTTTTTAATAAACAATCACTTTTCTAACGGACTGCGCTTAAGACAGAGATAACGAAATAAACGCCAAGGAGTGACCGAGACACACCACAGTTTACCGAACATTGCCGAATATGTACGAAGCTTTACGATATAACCAAATAGAGATGCTCCTCGAGAGTGTCGTTTAATTGATTCCTATTGAAATAGACAAAATTAGATCGTATATGTGTATAAAAAGTATACATATAAAAATAGTAACTCATATTTAACTAAAGCACGTCGTTCAATAAAGAAAAACAAGTTTTTAATTATTTTATTTTCCTTTTAAAGTAATCATGGTATCATTTATTAATACCACCATTCACTGTGCTCATAAATCCATTTATTACAATATCCCATACGATTAAAAATCCATAATCAAAATCGATTACGAAATTTAATAGATTAAACGGTCGATTGTGTTGACAATCTCTAGCCTAGATCTCCGTCCTGCGCAGCGTTTCGCGCTAAGATCAGACTTGCCAAGTTACTTCGGCCGTATTATAATAAGACATTTCCTTGGATTGGAAATGTGTGAAATATTGGTGTAACACACTACATAGGCCGTGTCTATGCCGGAAGAATAACAATCGGTAATTTATTTTTAATTTAATTTGCGGTTTATATAAGAATAATTGGAACTTTTTTATTAGTCAATACACAGCACTAATTAACAAATTCTTATACTTCTCTCAACACATCGGTCATTGTATTGGCCTAAACAATATGTACTTATGTAGCAATTAATATTTTTAAAAGTAGATTTTACAAATAATTGAGACTTAAATAGTTTTAATTTACGAAATAAAAATGTACTTAGATAACAATCATATTTTGTATGAACTTACTATGAATTAACAATTATATAATTTTGCTGTTAAAAGATGACAATAACGAGACTAACGCTGAACTCGAGGCGTACAGTTGTCGTTCGTTTTGCCGCCGTAGATTTACTTTAATTTATAAGCATTTTCAATAATGGGACCTGAGATGAAACTGACTATTCCAATCCCACCATCGTCTTTACCCAAATTAATGTAATTTTTTAAAAATACGAAATATACTCTCTATTATAGCACATTATTTTGAATTATGGATTTAACGTTTTTTTGTATTGTTCTTATATATAGCATTATTCTTAGAGTTTGTGCGTGTTATCTTTTAATTTGATAAGTATAAATTATTTTCTTTATGACAAAGACCCACAAAAGAATAATTCGTGTATTATAAATCTGGTATCTAAATTCTAGTCAATTTACAACTTTTGCAGTTTGAGTGCATCCCGTGCCATTGGTTTATGAAGAAATATTTGGTATATTAAAAAAGTTTAAATACTTATTGTCGGTCGCTAATAGCTTTTAAATCAAATGTGCTCTGTTTTGTGTTCTTTAATTGTATATTTATTACTTTAAGTATCTAGTTGTACATTCAAAATGTTTGAGTTTTGTATGCAGGCTTCTGTTTATCACGTCTTGGCAGTATTATTAAAAAATATTGGCCTATTTTATAATTAAACATGGGTTAATTTGAATGAAACCTTATTATTATAGTTGTATTTAAGAAAAGTTGTAACAGATAGTAATTGTAACTTCGCTTTCTTTTTAATTTACCAAATTTATCATAGGTTGTTGGTTATTCATATTAATTAACATCGACAACTACATTCAATTAGTTGGTATTATACTTTTCCAAAGTATAAAACTCGAATGCATATGCAATGTTATTTTTTATTCAAGAAAAATAAGTAAGGTGGGTTTTTTTTTATAATTTTCAAAATTAAGTAAGTCCCTGCTGTATTTTATTTAGGTACCGTATTGTTTTTTGTACAATAGGCGTTACATTCGTGTTGTTAATTAAATGCTGCCATAATGATTTAAATCTTAATTAAAATTCTATATTTGCAATAATGTAGTTATTTATACTAATATTGTAATGGATACCTTTTGAATATAAATCATGTACTTAAACATTCTAGATAAAAAATAAATTATTTGAATTTTAGTTTTTAATTAATCTCATTATTACTGTCTAGGTCGAATAGTTGAGAAAGGTGTGTATAAAATTATTTTTTCAATATTTATCTTATTTTAAAATAAATTCGAACCCTCGACTCCACCATTGTAGTGAGTCATAGACTTCTTCGTGTTCATTGGTGGAATCACAGTATTTATTATAGCACGTTTTTCGTAATGTATGCTCAAAGTATTCAACTGCGATACCTCATGTATTTTATACAAAATACTATAGTATTTCGTATAAAATATAATATTTAACCGATTTTGTGCGAAGTCTTCGTGGCTATACTAGCATTTTGTAACGCTTCTGGGCTTGATGATCCCCGGGTAAGGATTCTTTGAAATATATTATAGCGATTAATTTAGCAATAATGATTAATAGTATCTAAGCAGCAGTTTGTTTCCCTGTAGTAGAAATATATAACAGCTGTCGGGAAGGAAGGAGCTTTGTTAGACTTAAATACCTACAGAGTGTACAATGCAAATCCATTCGCGAACCAAAAGTTAAATATATAAAAAAGGTAGACGAAAAATCGCTGAAGTCAGAATTTACTATATTACCTGAACACTAGGCTTAGTTTATATGGGTTTGTCGCTAAAAGACGTTTCCGAATTTTTAATATGCAATCTGTTTTATATCAGGAACAAATGGAATAATAGTACAATTTGAATGTGAAGAGTTTAATTTTGGCCCACTCTCAACAACAATATATTTTTTAAACTAGAAAAGTAACATAAGTTATGCGAAAAATATAAAAATCACTAGGTAATCTTCAATAGGTGCCAGACAAACTCATCGAATACGATTTAGCTATGAAAATAACCTTCACGATTGTTTTCAAAAAAGCTATTATGGTTTTTGGACGTGTAACACGCTCGATAAAGCGAGGCACCCATATCCGATTCCCCTCTGAATGTATTTAAGTATACTAGCATGATTTCATTACTGTAACCTATAGAAAAATATCTTTGATATGCTAATTTCGACAGCGCCTGGTTCACATTGAAAATGATTGTAACATTATTTCTCATTAATTTGTACCACATAAGTATCACGACAACATGAAAGCCTTTGAAGCCTTCGAGAAGTTACATAGACTGATCGGAAGACAAAATAACGAAGATGCAGTTAGTCTCAAAAGCTCACCAGGCTATCCTTACACGCACTTAAAATGTATCACAGATAAAGATTTTTCATATTTTGACAATTGTTTAAAATTTTCCAAAATAAGATATTTTTTTTCTATAAACTACGTGATTTGAAAATTTCGACTAATGTGTAATTTAACAATCAAGTCCATACAATTTGAAATTATTATAACAATACTGTCAAAGGCAGTGTCATATATTTTTGGTACCAAAATGTTTGGAAAAAACCAGAGTTGAAACAAATATATTATAGTGACCAAATAGTGCAACTCTTCACGTGACATCCCAATTAGAACCCCAGGAAGCATATTCCTCATTGAACACAAATGCTTCCTTTAATCCCCTGAGACAGAGCAGTGTGCATAATGCAAGCCGTAACAGAATGCCACAATTCCTCTGTCTTGTTATGGTCACAGATATTTTGTAAGCTCATTTAAGGCTAAATTGTGTACCGATATCCTTCACTGAAGTTAAAAATTTAAATGTAATTTGCAATTTTTCAACGTAAGCTGTGACCTTTACCGCTTATAAATAAAATACATACAAAGGTTTACACAGTTTAAACCAGGATTATACAATGTGTGCACAAAGTACTGGCTAGTTTTAACAACGGCTTGGAGTAAAAATACACACTGTTCCAAGCGGCGAGAAACAATGCATTTCACACTGACATCAAAAAGACAATATGCTTACTTTTGAACATTTGAGCTAGACTTTGAGCCTACCCATATGCCGGTATGTCTTTTTTTAGTATCATCATTTCGTAAAAAAAAACCAGTGCTAGCTCAAACAACTAACTCTATGGGTAGGACCTAAATTACAAGTTGAAAGTCTATCACAATTTATTTTAATTCCACATACAAATCTAGATAGACTCTCAGGCAATAAGTGTTCAGATAAATATTTTACTTTTCAACAATCATAGGAAACCACGCATAGAATCCAATATGGACAGAAGTCTGGGTGCCTTTCATGAGTCCCGATGCTTGTTTATATACACTTTAAAAAAGTAACCTTTTTGTAGGTCGGTGTCTTATTTCACGATAAACTATATACACGCACATTTTGTTACAATAAGTTCTACACTTTTTACAAATAAGTTTTTTAGCTTTATACAAAGTTCATACACCAATCAAGTAAGTCCAGTTAAAGGCGAGCGCGGGCACACGTTACTTGTCCGCAGCGTCATCGTCCTCGATCGCGCGTGCGACGTATAGCGCGGGATCGATCACCTTGGGGATGGGTTTTATCTCTGTGCCCAGTTCCTGCTCGATGCGGTGCAGGGCGAACCGGTCCTCGTACGTTATCAGGTTGATCGCTATACCGAGGTGACCGAAACGGCCCGAACGACCGATACGATGCAAGTACGTCTCCGCCATACGCGGGAAGTCAAAGTTGATCACCACATTTACGGCTTGCACGTCGATACCTCTGGTGAACAGGTCCGAGCACACCAAGTTGCGGCAGAGTCCAGCTCTGAAGTCGTGAAACACACGGTTACGATGAGCTTGCGCCATACGCGCGTGAATGTAGTAGCAGCAGTAGCCTAGTTCTGTGATCTTCTTTGCCAGCAATTCGACACGCTGGGTTGAATTGCAAAATATTATGGATTGATTTATCTGCAACTGGAGAGAAAAACGTAAGTGTAAATTATTTGTGTAATTAAATCCAACATTAATTATTGCATTAAGTAGTGTTAAAGATATTGTACCTTTGAAAAGAGCGTATTTAAGCAGTGTACTTTTTGTCTCTCCTGTACAAAAGCATAGTACTGAGTGACTCCTTTCAATGTCAGCTCTTCCATTAGATTAATTTCATATGGTTCATGGAGGTGCTTCTCCATAAATTGTTTTACACTTAAAGGAAAAGTGGCTGAGAATAGCAAGATTTGGCGTTCTTTCGGTAATCTAAAAAAAAATTCAAAATAAGGCTAAAATTTGCTATATGTCAATGTTTACATGAATTAGGATTCAGAACACAATACACAACTATACTACACCAATCACCAATTATAACTGGCTGTGCATTTATGTCATGTAATTTAGATATTATTTGCCAAATAAAACAAAACAAAACTTTGTCATATAATCCAATTTATATTATACTTGTTATATTGTTTATTTTTATCTTACCTAGAGATAACCAAATCTAGCATTCCTTTAAAGTCTTGAGAAAGAAGTTTGTCAGCCTCATCAAGAACCAGCATCCTGCACTGGTCCATTTTGGCTACTTGTTTATCCATGAGATCAATAATACGCCCAGGTGTGGCAATTATAACTTGGACTGTAAAAAACACAAACATGTAATAAAGGTGATTAAAAGATCATTTCGTTACTTTGTATTCTTAAAGTGAAACCCTTACCATTTTGGTAAATACGCATAATGTCATCTCTGAGGTTTGTGCCTCCTGTAGTGACCATAACACGTATATCAGTGTGTTTTGCTAACTCAATACAGATTTGTGATGTTTGTAATGCTAGTTCCCTAGTTGGTACCACAATTAAAGCTTGAATACAATCCTTTTTTGAGTCAACCTAAAAAAATCGAATATATTAAACTCTGAATAAAATAAATCTTTTATTGTATTAGATAAAATCACAATCAGCATTGGTGTTATCACTTATAAAAAGTGAAGGGGAATCCAAACAATATCATCATAATAAATATTTACCTGCAACAATCATGTCTTGTACTGTTGCTCTTATTAAGTGAGTTACTTAGTAAACTTAGATTGATATGTTGTGTTACAATTATAGAATTATTACAATAAAGTCCTTTAAAATATTCACCTGTTCAATAACTGGAATACAATAGGCTCCTGTCTTTCCAGTGCCGTTTTTGGCCCTTGCAAGAACATCCTTACCACTAAGAGCAACGGGTATGGAAGCCTCTTGAATTGGAGACGGCTTCTCCCAACCCTTTTCAAATATACCCATAAGGATTTCTCTCTTTAAACAAAATTCCTCAAACTCATTACCTCTTGTATCTGTCACATCCTAAAAAAAAATTCAATTGGTCCATTGTTGTGTAAGAACAATAACTATCATTAGTTACTTAGTTTATGCTTAAAAGTACTTACACTGGTTTTCATTCTTCTATCTTTAGGCGGTAGTTTTAATTTTGATTTCCATCCAATGTCATCAACAGATTTGTCGACATCTCTAAACACATGAACAGAAACGTTACGATCAAATCACAAGAACAAAAAATCAAGTACCTACATACATTTTGACATACTAACCCTTTTTGATTATTCATATTGTTTCCAACGTGATTACTTGAACTTATTCTGTTTTCGGTCATCATTTTTCTGCTTTACGAGTCACGATGACTAAAATAAGAAACTTATCACAATCTAGTTAAGTCCGACACAAAACAAATTTCACGATAAGTCACTTTTTTACACATATATTTCTGAAGTAAATCACTAACGGCCGAATTACGGAGTATCTGAAAAGAAAGAAGCATTTAATTAAATTTAACATAGCGTAATTACAGTTAAGGGGATAATAATCTCAGCAAAACTATAGTGAATATACAGACGCGTCAACAACAAAATTACTTGTGTACAGTTTACAAACTAAACCTGAAATTAATATCTAGCCTTACAATAGACTGTAAATTATATATCTCAAAATAATATGTTACTAAAATTTATTCCACAAACAAAAATAAACAACTGATGGGAAAGATATAATCAGATTCACTTGATATATAAAAGATTGAAAAATGTAATATGGCCGACACAGAAATATTAACTATCACAAAGAATATCTCTATGAAAACTAGTGTAAATGAAAAACTATGTAAATATAGAATCGAGAAATAATAAAGGAAGTATTTAAAACTGATTACCTTGGTAAAACTTTAAAAAAGACGACGACTCTCGATTCTCGACGACATCTCAATTCTCAAATTTACAAAGTAACCGGTGTTACCATGTTCAACTTGCATTATAGTGTTGCCGAGCACTTTACCGAGGATAATAGATTGCAGACTCAAATAGAAAAATAATAATGCTAACGATAAGAACCATATTTATTATTATTGTCTATTTTTTATTAATTCTCTTTAAATCATTTACGGTCGTTTTGTAAAAAATAATATTAATTTATAAATTGACCGTTACATACTTACTCGTTAGCCTCCCTTATTTTTTTACATTTTTCATAAGACGTTTATTGTAGCGTTTAAATTTTACCGTGAGTGCTGCAAAAATATTGAACATGGCAATAATATTTTTCTTATGACAAATTCCGGTCTCAGGAGCTCTATCTAAAGAAATAAAATGATACTACTGGTAATATTTTTTTAAAAGATGGTTTATATATTTGTGATTTATGCTCTAGATAAATCACAAATATTAAAATAAAATACTTCAATCAATTGAAAAAGGATTTTTTTTCTGATCTTAAGTAAAGCTATATTACACAAATACGTGATATCGCGAATTCACAGATAATATTAGTTATATTTAACTGCGGTACAATATACACAATCCTACAACATCATATTCGATATCAATACACTGTAAAGTCAAAATTCAAAGCTGTCAGTTTATTTGTCACGTAATTCTAAATAATTCGTAATATTTGTTGACACGGTTTATAAAAATATATTTACTTTGGATATTTAAAAACTCAGAATGTAAGTTAAAACTTCTACGTTGCACACAAATGAAAATATAACATTCTCTCTACACCAAAATCCGTGCCATGATTTAGACATCGCACTTATTACGATCTACCTTAGATGAATGAAAATGTTTTTGTTGTTTATAAAGTTGGTTTTAGCGGCTAACGCTTACTACATAATATCAATACTTTCAGGACTGAGTATTGGCAGTCTCAAGCCCGAAAGTATTGCGAGTTCTGCAAGTGCTGGTTTGCCGACAATCAAGTTGTAAGTGGGTAATTTCTAACTATTCTATAAGCCAGAATAAATACATATATACCGTAAAACGCTATTTTTTTTTATTTTTAGTCTATTTCATTTCATGAGAATGGAAAGCGACATAAAGAGAGTGTTAAAAAACACATTTCTCAGCTAAGTAAAAGAAGTGCTAAGGAATTTAAAGCAAAAGAGAAACTTGATGATGATATCAGAAAGATGGAAGAAGCAGCAATGAGGGCTTACTTGAAGGATGTTCAAAATAATGCTGACCTTACATCTCAGGTAATTTCAATGATGACTTTTTAAATGGTTCTACTTTTAACTATTTTTTTCTATACATTTTTTAACATGTAGTAACAAAAAGTTGCATTAGTTATCTCAACACTGCTCATTAAGCCCGATTATTACTCTTTTGGTTTGTTGATTAGTGTTGCTTATGAAGTGTGACTGGCTTACATTATGGGTGTATTTTCATAATTCTATTTTGTTATGATATGAAATCTAATCAATCTAATCCTTTGTCAAAAAATTATAGAGTGAGAGTTACTAAGAAAGAGGAAAGGAAAATATTTGTGACATAGACATATTGCTTTTTAACATCGTTCAAGCTTAACTAAAAGTATCATGTTTCTTGCCTTTAACCCAATATGAGGACATAGTTAGGACATTTATCTCCTATCATAGGATGTGTGCTTGGTTTTTAATAAATAAATAAATCTCTATAGTAACCATAGTAATATACTCTACTAAAAAATGGGGTACATTACATACCTCAATATAAGTGGGATATTACCATTATGTTAGCTACAATATGGCAAAATTTTCTTTAAATTTTCAGGATATCAACCAAATGCTAGGTAAAGATGGTAAAAGTAGTACTGACATTATAGTATCAACTGCAAGCTCTAAAACAGAGCCTACTTGGCAAGAAGTTAAAGGCAAAGATGGGCATTCATACTATTGGAACAAGTTAACAAATGGTAAATGAGGATCTGTTTTGAATATTCACTAAGTGTACTGTGGCCACAAATTTTTCCATATGAAACAAGATAATTTTTTCGGGAGCCATTTTTAAATAAAAGGAAAACAACTATGTGTACAGTAAACATTGTGCATTTTAGAAATTACTTGTATTCATTATCTTCTTATATGTAAATTGTTAATATACTAATAGAGTGTTATTGTTATACAGAAACAACATGGGACGCCCCAGACAATTTTATTTCCTTAGCAGATCAAGAACAAAAACAGCTTAAGGATGACAAGAAGCAAAAGAAATTATTGTATGTATAGCTATAACTTTAATCTTTTCTGTGGCTTAATGGATAAATCATATTATAATTCATCAAATAATAAATCATTTTACATTATTAAAAACATTTAAGGAAACAGAAACATCAAGAAGCAATTGTAGAAGTCAAGGCACATTTAGCTAGAGAGAGTATGAAGGAATTAGCAGTGAAACCACAAAAGTCTTCTGACATTAGTGCAATATCCTATGGCCCAGAACCTAGAAGTAGCAAGCCATATGGAAAGTGGGAGACGGTGGTACAAGAGTAAGTTGATAGTTTTTATATTTCTATATAATGAGGTTAATAACAAAATACAAATATATACTCATAGTGTATGTCAATCTATAACTAAAATATATTCTTAAGAAGTATGTGAATAAATTTGTCATTCATTTTTTAACAACAAATATTAAACATGAGACATTGCTATTGGGATGAAATTATCTATATCTTAATATTCTCTCTGCCCTTATAACAACTTGAAATCATTGTCGAGCATTGGAGTCCTGGGTTATGGAATTTGAATAGGTAGATTACAACTGCCCCATGACACATGTGAAAACGGGATTAAGTCACCTCAATTATTTCACACTGATCTGTTGTGCTAAGGTCCAGGCAGCTAATAACTACTTTTTTTCATAAATGTACTTTCTTTTTATTGCAGGCCAGTGGAAAAAATCGATTTACAATTGCCAAAGAAACAGATAACGCTGCCACCTGTTGTAGTGGAGCCTGAGGTTGTCCGCTTCAAAGAAAAACGAGTCGAGTCTCTCGGCGACGGTCCTGTAGAATTTAAAAAGAGAAAGTTCAATAACGCCAAAAGAAATATGCGTCAAAAGGTGGATGATGAATAAAATTTGTTACAATTTTAAGTACAGTGGTTTATTGTAACCTTTTCCCATTACCTAATAAAAACTTACTTTTGAAAGTATAAAAATATTTATTCACTACACTTACAACTTTTGTTTTATCTTCGCATTTGGTTTAATCTGTAATAAAACATTTACCTTATTTTACTTTGATACTCTATGGTTATTATGAAACTCAGCGATAAAAGGAGTGACGGCGAGTTTATATAATGTTTGTATAATGTAAAGTTAGATTCTTTCATTTTGTGACGTTCATAAGTGTACATAGTTACCTACATGACACCTCTTTTATTGTTAACGAGCTTGTTGGTGCATTTGTAGCAAATAAGCATACTTAATTATTTGATTGTGGGTTCGATTTCGACACTGTTTCTAAAATCGATGTTTATTGTACTGAAACATCTTAGATCCGGATATTAAATAGTTTGGTAGGAATGTCGAAATTCTGTCCTCATCACAAAACACACATTATAACTAAAAATAGTGTAGATAAATAAAATTAACTATATTTAAGGGTATGAGTAACAAAACAAATAAGCATTTAGATATGATATATCTCTTGTTGTGGCTCATTAAGATTCACGGTGGTCGACTTGTCACACGTCGCATGGTGTAATATTGGAATAATGATGTATCCCTTGTTGTATATCTATACAATTTCTCAATGAATATTTCAATGTTTATACCGTCCTTATGATTAGGCAACTACAATAAAACGTTATATTAATTAGTATGTACCTATTTTTACCAAAATATTTATGAAATTTAGAATAATATGCAATTTATAACCTTAAAAATTGTTAGGTAGCTATATGTTCACAATCGACAGAACTAACAATTTATAGGTAATAATAGGTTTAAATGTATAGGTAATAATAGGTATTCTCTTCACTTGGTGTTATACTGCATCTGCATCTCTACTTCCAAATACACGAAGAAAGTGAAACCTTTCATCTGTAATTACTTTATCGTGTAAATAAGTTCTCTAACTGTAATAATTTATTAGGTAGAAAACTTACAAATTCTTAGATAAGATTGAAGTGAATCTATTCCGCAAAGAAGTTTCATCAAATTTATCAAGCCCTATACTTATGTAAATAAACTAGAATTTGCCTGTAGCTTACGCGTTTGGAACATATTATGTATGTACTACTTAAAAAACAATCAGAACGCGATCACAGCCACTTTCGCATTTTAAACCTACTACTACTTACGTATGTAGGTATCTACCTTACGTTACGTTAAGTAGGTACTACTACCTAGTTAAAGTAATGTTTTTTTAATCACACGGTCTACAATATTCCAACTTAACATGGCCTATTTTAACACCTCTCTTCCGATTTGCTTATTACCCTAACCTATATGCTTAATATTATAGATAAATAAAAAAACTTCCGACCTACCTTTACTTTCATTATCTAATAAGTACCAATTTTTTAAATTATGAAGATACGCTGTTGGTTAAGGGAATTACAAAAATTCACGATTTAAAACGTTTTTAAATTACTTATATAATGATATTACTAGTTAGGATGAATATTGATGTCCCAAACATAAACCGGAAAAACCTTATTCACCATTAAATTAATGATGAGAACATTAATTTAGTTTCTGAACCATCAATGGTCCATTATTATTTATTGTGAGGCTTTGATCCGGGTTCTATATGGAAATGACTTTGTAAACTTAACGCTTAACGAGTGAATAGTGTATCATTGAATCACACGTTGGCGTTATGATATTCAGATCACGATTGTGCTGTCAGTCTCCAGGCTCGTATATAAGGTATAGAGATAAATCCGAGGAGCAATTCAGTCGCAGCCGTCGGCAGCATTCCTGTCTAGTGATCTTCTAGACCGAGCTTTGTTGTTCTCGTGTAAAATTACAGTTAAAATCTCCGGTAACATGTTTAAGCAGGTAAGCATTTAAGTAAGACTAATTTTGTTTAGTGGTATTAAGTACGATACGAAGGATTAGGCAAATATTATAATAATGATTGTTCAACATTTAGAAACTATAACTAAGCAAATTTAACTTTAATGCATAGATATGCAAGTTTGTCATGTTTTTAAATTATAACACGATATTTAGTCGTATTAATCCTTTGTATAGACTTGGTAAATATTGTTGCACATTTGGAAACTATTAGTATATGGTATAGTATATTAGTATAGGTACACTTAATGCTGTGGACGACACCAAGCTAAGCTTTTAAATATAATGAAAAAAAAAATTACATCACATACATAAATACCGAATATAATTATCTGTTGGGTCTTGTATTTTTAGATTTAGTTATTCGCAATAGATTTTTTCGTAAATCATATTTAATTTGTTTTGGGAGTAAATAATATTTATTACAAATAAGGAATGTCGGGTGATATAGTCATTTGTTTGCTAATATAGTTATGCATTGAATGACACCATATATAAGCGTCTTATTTCTCTAACAAATTTATTAGATATCAACTTAAGTTTTAAGTAAACACCAATGACTATATTGCAGATGTTATTCGTTCTCGTGACGTTGATGCTCCTAGCCACAACGATGGCCAAACCTCAAGTTCTAGTGGACACATATGGCTACTACTCAGCTCCAGCTTACGTCGCTTCGTACGGTACCCCTCTAGCATACACTTACCCCTACGCCTACACTTATTCATATCCCCTAGCCTACTATTAAGCTGAGTTAATTTTCGTGGCAATGTTTCAGCGACATAGAAAACAGAACAGTTACAGTTAGAACAGTATAACAAGGAGGGTACCGTCACCACCACTATACAATATAATGTATTTTTTATCCAGCGATATTTATTAAGATGCAATAAATGAGTGTTAAATATACATAAAGCAGATTGTTTTCTTTTTATCTAGTATATTTTTTAGAACAGACGATAGGTAGGTAAGCATTTTACGTGAAGTAAATTAAAATGCCCAAGCCCTATAATATCTAATTAGGATGTATTATTGACCTATTTTATACTAGTCTTTTGTCTTTTTGATCAATAAGTAAAACACGAAATACCTATGTCTATACACCCTTTGTAGGGTATACACGAGTTCAGTTATCAGTAATGTAAACAAAACATTTTTTTTTAATTAAAGTTGTTGGCACATCATTAGCACAAAGTAATTATTTTAAGTGGATCTCTTATTACATATTAACTAGTTAATGCTAGAAAACAAAAAAAAATGTGTCGTTTCAAAGATAGCACGTAGGTAGTATTTTGGACGAAAGAGGAAAGGAACAGATAAGATATAAATACCATTATATTTTTTAATACTTATACAAATTACAATGACATAATGAATATAATCACGCTCAAGGCTATGGCGCCCATGGTTTTCCCGATCATTTGTATGCGCGAGATGGGAAACGGATAACATTCCTTCTATCACTTTTGGTGTGTGAGCCTTCGATTTAGTTATATCAGTGTGCGTGTGATGTATACTTGCATTGAAACTAAAAGTTAGCTACTAAAGATTAGGCATACGTTGTTTTACATTTAGGAACTACGTATACTCTATGATGTGCGGGATACCAAGCTAAGCTTTTATAAGTAACGAGATAAATTTAACACCTATCTGTATTTTGTACTAATACTAATATATAAACCACAAGAGTTTGTTTGTTTGTTTGTTTGAACGCGCTAATCTCAAGAAGTACGGGTTCGAATTGAAAAAAATATTTTTGTTTGTTAGAGCATTTATCGAGGAAGGCTATAAACTGTTATTATTACTAATTGAAATTATCAGGCTGTGACTAGTACAAGCGAAGATATAACGAGAAATGGTAAAATTATTGATCATTATGGATTTCGGAGGCGTACGCTGCAAAAACAGTTCGAGATACCCAAAAAATATGTATTAAAGAATAATTCTAGTCTATCTCTTAAGATGAACTTCGTAGAACGACGAGCCGCGACCGCTGTCGTGGCTAACAGCATAAATTTATAAAGATGAAGAGGAGGTTTGTAAAAACTTCGGGTACTCAAAATTACTAAGTATGCTACGCGGACGAAGTCGCTGACACAGCTAGTCAATGTATATTTACGTATACACAAAGTTTATATTATATTATTTTTTTAACCTAGAATACGACATAATATTCGTACCTACTTAATATCTGTTGTTTCTTGTGTTCTTAGATTTACTTCTAATCAAAGGATGACTTATATAATTAGCTGTGCCCGCAACTTCGTCCACGCGAATAGATATTTTGAGCATAATATTTATATATTTACGCAGGGAAATGATATGTATATAACTATATACTATATAGTCTAAAACTCTTTCCAGACGCTCTATAATATAGAAGCATATAAGTCTATGTCTTACACACTGTTACTATAATGTCGCCTTCTATACTTTAACATGGGCATAGCAAGCCACTACATAAAATAGTTAAAAGTGGCTATGTTGATAATAATTAATAATTCATAGCGCGTGATAGGTATTGTTGTACCTACTATATTATGTAGATTAACTTGCAATCTGACATAAGCTTTAAATAAAACGCTAATATAATGATTATAACATATATGACAAACTTTTGTCTCAGTGTCAAATCTCGTTTCTCGCTTGGGTTGCACACTCTTTGCGTAATAAACAAATAATGTAAGTAAACAATTTCTTGTTACCCTGAAATTGGAACCTGGGATCTCTCGTGCTTTTAACGAAATGCTAATCAACGTTCGTATTTATGTGGAGTTGTGGGAAAAGATGGACAGGAAAAAAACAGTGTAAATGGTTAAGCTTTATTATGACTTTATTAATTATCTAATAGCTATTATATATAATACATCTACATACAAGTTAGCCGTTAGTACTTAATTAATATATTCTATTATTGCAACTTTACAAAAAGCTACTCACTAGTATGTATTAGGAATCTGGTGAGATTTTATATCGTATAACACATAGAACGGATTGTTGATTAATTATGTACGGACTTAGGTATTTGTTTTTACTTATTTAGGTAAAAATTAAGGTTTTAAAATAAAAATATTATACCGCTTAATATTTAAGAATGATTTAGCTGGACACGTTTAACGATAAGGTATATTATCTTGGATAAAAAAATTAAGGTATAGGCCAGTATGTACACGTTCCTTACAGAATGTTAGTGATAAACAAAAATAAATAAAGAAACTGTATTAATTGTGAACAGTTTTTTTACTCTAGAGCCGTTTCGTTATCTATTTCAGAAATATTTTCACATTATTAGCTAATTATGACAAAAAATTATTACATAAAAGTAATTCCTAGGTGCTTGTTACTTTGCGATCAAACGCCTCTACGTTTATTAGTCAAATACTTTAAGTACCTATTATACAAAATTTTCGCAACAACTCGTTAGTACCTACGTTAAAATATATTTTGTGGCGCTTTTAAACTTATTGACATACGAAATTTATTGTTTCATTAATGATCTAAAAGTGAATTGTGTATGTACGCTTATATGTAGCATGCAATAATTAATTTTTGTTTTAATTAAATTCTATGCAGTTTGATAATACAAAAAAAAATGTTGTTCCGTCAAACCTTACCAAACATTTTTTTTTCTGGAAAGGATAATATATGGTGTTATCGGATTTCCCTTTCTGTTCTGAGGTTTTATTTAAACGATACAAACTTCCTTTACATTATGTCTATGCCTTTTATAGAGGGTAGAAGTTTTTTGCCATAATATTTATTTTGCGTTATAATAACAAAATTTGAGAAAAATTTTGAATTGAAACATAAGTCGATATCCCGCGATGTTTCTGTATTAATTTTGTGAGTTGGATATTAAATAATGTGACATGTTCCTTTTCATACATAAATATTAACTGTCGATCTACCCACAGATATATATACCCTGGTAGTAAGATTAATAAACTTACAAGAACTTAAATTTAATTACTATAATATTAAAACTAGTCTAAGTGTCACTACTCACATATTTTATATATTAACAGGAATAGATACAAAGTTTCTACAAAAGGAAAATAAATTAAAAATACTTAATATGTTGAACTGTCCATTATGGAATAATTGTCCACTGTCCACTATAACAACGATAGTTCATTGATCATAGACACTATAAACTACGAATAGTCCACAGATTCTGCAACGCACACAGGCACTTAATAGTACATATCACTAAAGTCTAAGCAACTTCAAGGTCTGAATCATCAGATTCGTCAGTATATGAGCGAGGTGTTGGTGGCGCAGGAGGCGGTCGCAGGGGAGAAGACATCTGCGCCCGCTGTTGAGCTAACGCCCGACCGCAAGCCCGTTCTTCCTGAAGTTTACGAAGTCTCTCCTGTTCCTCCCGTTTTTGCTTGCGCCACTTCGCCCGACGATTTTTGAACCAGACCTTCAATAAAAATAACTTATCATCATTCTTTGTTACGATATTTTTGTGCTCCTGTTATAAATTACATATATCTGTACTAAAATTATAAAGCTGAAGAGTATGTTCGTTTGAATGCCCTTATCTTCGGAACTACTATTTCGAATTAAAAAAATATTTTTGTGTTGGTTACATCTTTTATCGTAGAAGGCCTGAGGTTATATCAGGCTGCGACCAATAGGAAACGAAGGGATGCGAAAAAGCAATGGAAAATGTGGAAAAGACGGAGAAAATTATTCAACTATAAGAGTTTCCGTTGCGCTTGCTATAAAAACGGTTTAAGATATTCAAGATATATGTCTAAAAGAATTATTCTTCTTTAAATAATCTAAAAAAAATCGATTATCTCTCAAGAACCAATTTGATGGTAATCAAAATTAATCGATGATCGACTTCATATGGCAAAAGAACGTTTGCCGGGCCAGCTATGATATATAATATGATGCCCAAAAACAACTATTCCCCTCGGACATAGTCGTGAGCACGGCTAGTAATTTTTATCAGTCATTAAGTGAGTGCGATTTCGTGATAAGCCTTGACCTATTAAAACAAATGAATGTTTTTAACTGCAGTATGTTATGCGAAATCTTTTTTCCTTTTTCCACATTACTAGTAATTGATTCAAAATAGAGTTTACCTTATAATTTCACTCAATGAGAAACCAAAATCGTTATTGAAAAATGAAACTGCATTCACCAAACAGAACAAATGCATTTTAAATAAATCAGGTGTGTCGTCTTATTTTGCACAGAAGTTGTTCGAGTATAAACTGTGTACATATTTCAAAGGATATCTTAATATCGAAAGGTCCATTTCTACATTTATTGTATAGAAACATTTCAAACATTCAATCAATAATAGATTACTTATTACTTATTCGTAGTTATCCGCGGACAATGAATGGCCTCAATTTTGTAACAAGCGTTTGACAAGCTACTGAACTGATATTGGGCGGGAATGAATGAAACTTTTTTGTAGTATCTATCAATAAGGTTTCCTGGGATACGTGTTGCTACTTCCACTCGACTTAACGTACACAAGTGTCGAGACACTGCGTGTGGTCTGTGTAGTTGCCTTTGTGTCTACCGTCACAACATAAGCGTCTTGATATTGCTGACTTCGCTTTCTCTTATGAATTAAAATAGGAAGTATTAGATAAGTTTATGGGACACGTTTTTAAATAATACAGTAAATTGACGCTCTACGAATCAAAGTCATATTTCGTCTCATTATGTATAGGGTTAAATTGAAAAAGTATTTAAATGTTCAAGCCATAATTTGTTTTTTTTTCAGTTACTGTAGTTGTTTTGATCAGCTGACCTCTATTATATTTAAAACGTTCTACAAAGTTGCCTATTAATGAACAAGCATACTGCCTATACTAAAATTATCAGCTTCTTTTATAAATAAAGTTTATGGACACTTCATATTTCATAACATTATAAACATATTAAAAAGTTGAAAACATTATTATATTATGAAAATGCACTAAAAGTATTTTGTTATGATAGATAATAATTATAATTCTAGGTTGAGACTTGGGGTACAATTCACAACGTTTTATTTTATATAACTCATAAGTACTGCTGAGATGCATAGCTGAGATGTAGATAACAGTTACCTAATTGAAATCAACAAATAAAATATTATTAATGTAAAGACGTATATCACCAAAACTCTTATTTATAACCTAAAAACCGTTAAGTATTTTTATGATTATGAATTTGTTAAGTGTCCGTGAGTTTTAATAATATTTAAATTATATTAGGTCTCAAACACCTAAAAAATAGTTTTCTATCACTGTTGACTCATAGGAATGAATTACTTCAGTTGGATTTTGTCCTTTAACTAGAAAACATACAGGCAATTATGTCTAGTTGTAAGCTGAAGGTTGCAGGCTGAAGCAACAAACATTATTCAATAAAAATGTGGTCACAAGAGTTTGATTATAGGTAGTAAAGTCAAACCGATCTACTGCTCCTTAAATGCCGCTTTCTAAAAAACTTTAGAGCAACCTTAGTCAAATTGCTTCATTCAATGCAATATAATAGAGATTAGTTAGCCGTTAAATCTTCGGCAAGGCGTTGAAAACTCACAATTCATCAACGATAACGCCTTTGTTCAAGTTAATTGCATTACAAGTGTCGGCCGGTAGCTCGACAAAAGCCCTATTAACTTTCGGGTGACGAGCTCTTCGCACATCGGCGGCCGTATTCTGAGCCATTCGAGCGGCAAATATGGCCGCTGCCACCGACAGACCCGAGGGCGTCTATGATCATATCTTCATTCTCCACTCTAGCCATTGTGCTTTTCCGCAATAAGATTAGTACTACGCGCTTTTGTGAGCCGTCTATTGTGTTTACATAACTCGTTTATTATGCGGGTTAAACTATAAAATCTAATTAACTTATCGCGATGGTACCTATTTTGATTTCGCGTATCACATGAATGAAAACTCTTTACTGCTTCTTCTTTAGATATAGACTATAGATGATAGGAATTAAACAATGTTTATATAAATATGGTGAATATATTTTTCTAATCTGAACAATGTGATATCTGAAAAGGACTATATTTTGACTAAAACTAAAGCTATGCTTTGAACTAAATATGATTGTCGAGTTACATTTGTTAAAACTACTGTTTCGAAGCAAGCGTTGAATGGAAAATCATGAAGTTCTATTATAGTCGGTGCACCGTACAATTTCATGCATACCCGTGTTACATAATTTCAAAGCCTCAGGGACACGGTATTCGAAAGTCAAACAGGCTTTATTGTAAAACTTCAATAGTGGATTATTAGTTTAACCACGTTAGCCTTTATCGATTTTGGGATATGATAAAATATTAATCTGGACAATATTCGAGGCTGTGCTATGGGGGAGCGGTTAAAACGATTTTACTTAAATTAACGTGGGTTATGCTACTGTAAATAAATCAGTAGATGCAAAAAATCCGTTTTAATAATGTCTAGTATTATAATTTAGTGTTTTAGTTTCCGTAGGTAAAGAGTGAATAGTAAAAGCCCGTTTCCCCCTCGTGGGGCATGGGGCGAACACATTTCTGTGTCCGTTTCACTGATCCGTTCTTTAAACGGGCAAGTAGTTGATCGGACTTCTGTGCCCTGCCCGACCGAAACAATTTTATGTTTCCGTGGTATTTGAACCCAGGACCTGTCGCGCTTAACGCAATGCAATACGTTTAACCATTTGGCTATAGAGGCGGTCAGTTTCAATAGGTAGTTCTAGATTTCCATACGTTGAAAGAATAATAAATATGGGGGCCATAGTAGCGCGTTTTATATAGATTGTAAAAGAACACTTGAGTTTAATTTTCTAAAAAATGAACTCAGTTTTCATTTTTCGTCCTTTGTCATAAAAAAGAAGCGTAATATGTTACCTACCTACACTTTTGTATTACTCGTTAAGGCCTTTTTATACCAAACGTGGAATTATTACGTTGTGTTTGTTTTTGTTACATGTTGGATTTTCAAATTTGAATTCAGATTTATATTAACTTGTACATATAGTCTATTTTGTTAATAATAATATCAAGAATAGAATTATCAAGATTTAATCGGAGTCGCTTGACATCTGGTTGATTAAAATCAGGTTAGTATTTTTAAGATCCATCACCATCTTTTAAGAATAAAATTATAACCCTCCTTTTAGCTTCGCTGTTGTTGGTTAACAATACGATTTCTTGCAGAAACCTTAACATGAATGGTAGTACATAATATAATGTCTTTAGAGGGATCTTTTCCCCTAATATCGACCAACTGAGTTGTTGAGCGATATTGTGTTGTAACCGCACTAATTGTAGACATAGCGTAACGAACGAGTGTGTTTTGGGAAGACGACCAGATGACATGGGCGGGGCGCCTCAGGCTATGCGCTGTACGCGTCGACGCCTGCAGAGCAACACTAATAGAATACCATAGACAATATTACTTACACTTGTATGTATAATAAATTATAAATCACATATTAAATAAAGATCCCTTTACTATGATCGAGAGTCTTTCTTTTTTTTATAAAACAACGATTACATTTTAAACCTCTTTGTCATGTTTAATATGTATTTGTAAGAGAAAACAATATATAAATAGAGCATTCCTTTTTCCACATTTTGCCAACGTACTTAATACCTTCATTTCGGCGTTTACAGGCGCAAAAGAAAGTTAACATTTAGCTTGATAGTATTCTTCTTTCTAGTTGTATGTTCTAAATCTATATATGTATCCTAAAATAAAATTGTAGTCTGTATATATTTTTATTCTACCTTTTATATATTTATTATGCCTAACTCTCCTCAACACCATAAACAAGCCGTCAATTCTTTTTTCTCTGTGTAAAGTTTCCTACTCCTATGTTAAAACACTGTCTTTTACAGGACACTGGCAAGTAGGTATACCTTTTTGCCATTAAAGAAAAACAAAGTTGATCAATCACCTGAGTGAATCACCTTTTTTAAAAAAATCCAAAGATAAAAAATGAAATTCGAAAATTCGAGGACAATCGGCTATAAACGAAATACCACAATGTAAATTACTTAGGGCTTCTTTAATCTATGGTTTTTTCGTGGACCTAACTATACCTCTTTGAGATGAGTATAATATTTATTGATAAAGTGTAAAGAGCGTGTGAACTGCCCGATGTGCCCCGAGTGGCGCCGGGCCGCGGCGGCGAACCGAACCCAAAGTTATTGTAATAATGTTGTTAGAACAAACAGCTCCCCCTTCGCCTTGTTTGAGATTACAATTACGGTTTTAGCGAACTGATTTATTAATGGACCGCCTGATCCGCCTCTGATACTTTAATGTCGATTTAATTTACATTCACTACTCACTGAATCTGTTAGTAATTGAGATAATTTAGGATAATTAGCGTTAACAAATTAACAACGTATCGTCGTTTATAACGCGAGTAGTACAAATTTTAATAAATCACGGTTATAACGTGATA